CTTGCTGACGCTTGGCATTGGGCTTGGTGACCTAAGACCCCAGTCTATTGTCATTCTATTGGCAATGCTGTTCTATGAACACACAGTGTAGGGCATGGCTTCTTTTTCAAGACATAAAGGAAGTGTACATTAGCACAGTCCCTGCTGCCATCAAGTGGAGAGAATAGAAACTGCACCTCTTCCACTCAGAGGTCAATGGAGGTCACAACGCTTGTGTCAAAGCCAGGCCAGGTATGTCACACTGTACTCTCCGCTACAAGCTCAACAACCCTTTTTTTCCTTTCTGTCTTATTTTTGGCAGTGGAGCCTTCATACTCACTCTCTCTATGTATGTGTGTTTATTAGTATGCACCACCAGTCACCTTAATAATTTACCTCTCCACCTGCCAGTCACACCGTACTCAATATCCTTCACATTCTCATTTACAGTCTCCATTCATGATTCATGCGGCATTCGTTGAAAGCACCGTATTAGTCATTAGCTTGGGTTATGCTGGATATGACTCCCCGTGTCTCTACATCAACATTTGGGCTGCTTGTGTGTATATGTGTGAGTGTGCGTGCGCGCTGTAACAGACTAGCTGTAAATGAAAACCCGATTTCTCATCGCGCCCGCAATCTGTCCTCTCTCTCATCACACGCAGCCGATTGCATTTTCTGATAAGGCAGCCTGTCTCCTCCATTAACCTCAGCCCTGCCGGGTGCCTGCGAGAGGGAAAGCACTCCACCCCTGTGCGCCATCCCACTCCGAACATCCTCCTCCACGCTCACCTCACTGTTTATCTTACTGCAGACTGCAGTCAATCACCCGAGAGAGCTAACACTATGCAGCTGCTTACTGCTCATCAGCATCCAGGAGAAAACACAATGAAAACATACTTGTGTGGGCCAGCAGGCAAGATATGAGCTACGACATCTAATTTACATTTCATTGGAATTCCACCGATTTTCTCTAAATTTCTAATGTGTGTAAAGTTATTCAGAGTGGTTTAGTAAGTAGGCCTGGACCAGGGGTCAGCAACCCAAATGTTAAGAAGAGCCATTTTGTCCTTTCAATAAAAATCAAACCACCTTGGGAGCCACAACATTTTATCTCCATTTTACCATCTTGGCTGTGAATATGTCTCAGTATGTGCTAATGTACTAGTGTAGGCTAAAAAAATAAAACATAAATGAAAACACAGACTTACTTTGATCTGCTTTAAGCTTTAGCTCAGCTATAGCTGCTTTTCTCGCATCTCCGGCAGGAAACTTTTCAACAAAAGTGAAATAGTGTCTGTAAAATATCTAAAACATTGAATTTTTCATGAGGCTGAAGTTGCTTCTCATTCACCAGATTATTTTTCGAATTTCCCCATTCCACCTTAAATGGTGCCTGAGGTGCCAGATTGTAACTGCTGCACCATTTAAGGTGGAACGAGAAAATTAGAATGAGAAGCTGACTTAAGCTTCATAACTTTTTAGTGTTCGACAGTTTCTCGTTGCAGATTAAACACATCAGGAAAACAGCTGGAGTCCTTCCGTCACCAAATTATCAATGTTCGTTTTAAATCTCTCTCCTTGCCGTGACCAGCAGTCTGCATTCCAGTCTTCAGGGTTAAAGCCTGGTGAATTAGCAGTTACTCCACCATTTATTGTTAAACTGTGTTGAACGATCAGCAGAGTGTTATTTTACTGCAAAGGAGGATTATTTTATTTTTACCTAAAAGTCTAATTCTGCTGTGGAGCCACAACAGGGCAGTAAAAGAGCCGCATGTTACCGACCCCTCGCCTAGAGAAACCTATCAACTTGGATTTCTTCACAGTGGTGATAGGAATGAGGGGTTGCAAAGTCTACTACGCTAATATAGCCATTTTATTTACTATTCAAAACCACCAATGAACCTACAAAGGTTTTAACATACAATGTTGGTGATGGTAAAATAGTGGTAAATGTGAAAAAATACATATATACATAGTTCTATGGGGACTATTTTGCCTTACAACACCCTGCTCGTACCTGTCTGCCATGAATGGCTTTTATTAAAACATTTTAGGCCAAATCCTTCTCAAAACTATCATAAAACAGTTTTGTGAGGTAGCTTTTAGAGGCATGAAACTCTCTGGACGTCTGGTTCCTATCACCACCACTGAGAACAAATGAATGTTTCTCGCGTTTTACATCAAACCACATCAAATCTGAATGACTTTGTTATTGTCTTAATGATTTAATAATGCAGAAATGTCAAAAATCAGTGGAATTCCACTGTAAGTCCAGGCTCCCCAAAGTCACTCTTGGCTACGCGCACTTCTGTGCTTTTGGTCATCTAGCGCTCTGATTCAGCTTTTAGCCAGTGAACAAGCTCCTCATGCGCTGGGTCAAGTGTGTTGGAATAGGAAAAACACAAAAAAGTGTGCTGATGTGCCCAGGAACACCTGCTTTACAGTGTCTGAGGTCCTTTTTGTCAGTGGAATGGCAAAAGATTATTACAAAAGAATATAGCCATATTTTAACATACTGGGGAAAAAACTAAAATAAATAAATATGTGGCCTGTCCAAAAGGCAGTTTGACTGGGGATGTTCAAACTTTTGCATACAGCTGTGTGTGTATACTAACAAATGTTGCAGAGAAACTGACGTACTACAATCTGTAAATGCAGAACTACAAAGTGCACCTATATGGTAAGTGGGGCCGATAAAATAGACAATGAGCGTAGAAACAAGGAGGTGTACCTAATAATTTGGGGAGTGAGCGTATAACTGCTTGGGGGCTTCTTTGGCCTGCGGCAAAGGCTTCTCCACAGATTTATGGATAAGAGGCTTTGAATTTGGAGAAATTAAGTTGCACAGTTGATTTAGAAAAACTATTGAGGGTTCAATAACATCTGGGGGGGCTAAAGCCCCCTAAAACCGGCCTAGCGACGCCCGGGGCCTGTGGCAGTGAACTATAAAACATGGGACTCATTAGTCTTTTCCCGGCTAGGTCGGTGTCCTACTTAACAAAGTGCAGAATTAGGACAAGGCCCCTGGCTTCATGGACACCTACAGGTGCGAGGTCATTTGTATTACAGAGCACTTCCCAAATGCAGCACCGCTGCCAAAACCCTCTCCCTCTCCCTCTCCCTCCCTCTAATGGCTGCTTCCCCTGCTCCTTCCTGCGGCCTCGGCGTAATGAGGAATCGATTTGTGCAGTTCCCTGGCACGGCAGTAGAAATATGCGGCTTTAATTCGTGCACCCCGGACGCCAGGCCTCGATCGCCATTTACATCCTCATTACAAATGAACACGGATCCATTAGGCATCTATCACTTGCTCTTTCTCATTAAAATGGCTTCCATTTAGCCGGCTTTGAGTTTCAGCCTCAGCCCGGCGAACAGAACGGATGAGTAGCGTACATCATATTCCGGGACGAGAAGCTGTTTGTCTACTTTGCAGGTTTTCTGCCTCCAGAGACACTAAACTGAAGTCATATGACTGAAAGAAATGGATATTGCCCCACTTACAGTGACAGCGCGCCACCAGAGGGGTCCACTATAAAACACAATAAAACTATAAAAATAAGCAGACCACCGTAGAAAAGGCTGTTTAAGATGTGCTCATGAGTCACAGCTCGTCATTTATATAATGTGTTGTCCAAGAAAATGAAATATGAACCAGGTAAATGTAAGAAAAGCTGTAGTGACTGTTTGTAGCAGCAGCCTCAAGATGTGCAAGCACAATCTAACTAGGAGGATCGTGTTTCTCTGTATGTTCTGAGATCATGGCTTAAATTAGGTGGAGGTGACCCCCCATAGCTAACCCTCTACGCTATTGTGCTGCAGAAACTGTATGTGCTCACTGTGTATAGTGGACTCTAGTCCGTCCCTTTGCCCGGTTTAGAGCATCAGAGAAAGCAGAGACGGGTTCCTCATTGGAAAACGCACAGCGTCATACAGCTTCATGCATCATGTCCAATCTTTCATCTGATGTCATCATCATGCAGCCTGTCAACACTGTCTGGACAAATATACAGTCCTGCAGAGCATAATCTCTTCATGACGGACAGATTTTCTTTGTAGTTTATACTCTGTCAGGCAGCTGTGACATTACTGCAGAAATCAATATATGCAGAAAAATGCATTTAAAGGGAAATTCCAACAATTCTTTGAGATTACTGCATAACTAAATCATTAGGAAGTCATTCAGAGTGTTTTGATGCGAAATGCTCCATTCTAGAGGAACTTACCTCTACAGTGGTGGTGATAGGAACCAGACATCCAAATAGCCGAATGCTGCTAAAAGCTGCCTCACAGAAAGTTATCACATTGGATGATTATGAATTTGCTTCCTAATGCCTGAAACATTGTTTTATGATAGCTTTGAGATCAGGTTACTAAAGTGTATATTTCTTTATTTATTTATGGCTGAGAGGTACATGCAGGGTCTTATAATGCAAAATAGACCCCCAAAAAAGTATATTTTTCAGATACCACTATTTTATCATTATGAACCTTACACATAAAAGCTTATGAAAGGTACATGTTGGTTCACTTGTGGTTAAATGAAACAGCTATATTTGCTTTGTAGACATTGTTACTTGTGATAATGATTAATATCATTATAATGTCCACCTTTACAGATCCTAGCAGATGTTGAAAACTGTACAATAGCTGTGAACTGAAAGGTGGTCCAAGAAAATAATTGGAAATGAGGTGTCCTGAATTGTTTCATTGCAATTATGCAAAAAGAGAAGCTTTTTAGGAGTTACTGTTAATTCATTGCCTTCTGCCCAGTGATTGCTGGGATAGGCTCCAGCTTCCCCTCTACCCAGGAAGATAAGCGGCTTAGAAGATGTGCGTGCGTGTGTGTGTGTTAATTCATTTGTTGCATGGACGTGTTCTCCGATACATTACGAACACAAATTTTAGCCTGGCCTCAAGGTGTACTTTTACTTGTAATTCAGCTTTTAACCAGTAGAGGGCATTTTATACAATCTTAAAAAAGATGGATTTGGCTTTTTGAGAGTTGACACCAGTGCACATTTTAAATGGCAAATCAGCAATTAACACTTTTAATATGCCTGCACAGATTTAACAAACAACAGGTTAACATATCAAACAGTAAGTTTTTTTTCCTTACACATCAATTATTTTATATATAAAATCACTATAAAATGTCACTCTTTAATACTGCTTTGCTAAAACATTCGTGGTTTTATTAAACATTCCCCATGATAAGTGGTACAAAAGTCTTGCTCAGTCACGGGATGCTGTCTGCGGGGCAGCAATACATCTATGATCGGTTTAGTCCTAGTCTGAGCTTGAAAAACACTTCTAATCAGCCTGTCTCATTTAGTGACTTTTCAGTGTTGACTAGGCTTAAACCTGGGACCCTGCCTTTTAGTGTTTAAGAAATCGGCTAGTGTTCTTCCTCGTAAAAATAAGACACGTTTTGTCAAGGAAAAAGAAAAAAGACTAAATAAATAAAAGTTCTGCTTTAAAATTCTGTCTGCTTATGGTCCTGATGGCAGCTTCAGTCATAGTTGATTGTTGGGCTGTTGATGTCTAGCATATCATCACTGTCCAAAAAAAACATGCATCTCTATTTTTATTTTTATTTTTCCACGTCATTTGCACAAGCAGTTGCCCTCCATATTGTGTGGAACTTTAATGATGAATGGATCAACAGAAATGCTCCAAAATTACTTGGAATAAAATATTTTTTACATTAACATTTTGTTTTTTTTGTTTTTTTTGGACAGTGACGATATATTTAACAAGATGAATTCAGTTCAGTATCTATTGGCTGATACAACACATGATACCATTCACTCACCTTTATACATTCTCTAGCATCACAAAAATAGAAAATACAAAAAACTATTAGCAAAAAGAGCAATGGAGATAACACTACTGTGAAAAAACTCTTATAAAAATGGAGCGGATGATAAGCAAACATGGAGGATGATTGGTACCGAAGCTTGGCGTTGCTGTATCTGTGATGTTATCTTGATTGCTCTTCAAACAGTGAGACTGTGAAAGATTTGGCGCTGTCAGCGAGTGCTGTTCCTCCCTCAGGATGGACAGCGGAGTCTTTGCATAGTGGAGAGAGAGATAGGGAGAGGGGTTTGGGGGAGGGGAAGGAGGTCCATTCTAAGGCACTGTGACGTGGAAGGGGCTGCCTGGGACCATATCGTCGCCCCACTTCACTATGAGGATGTAGTCTCCTTTCTCCTTGACTGTATAGGTGACGTTGTACATCCTGTTGCCCATGTGCTTGACGTAGACCTCCTCACATGGGGTCTTTGGCCCGTGCACTCCCACCATCAGCATATTCGTCCCTGTGGAGTTACAGGAGTTTATTAATCTATACAAAGGATAGATCGCACCCCTTAGCTATCACTGACTGGCAATTGTGTTATTGTTATTAGGCGAGCCTGTATGAAATCATCTGTTCCAAACAGGCTTAATATTTAAAGGGCCCATACTCTTCTCCCCGAGGTCCTAATGAAGGTTTTGTGGTTTTCCATACCCAAAATAGACACCATTCATTTTTCCATGACCATTTTCCAACCTCTTTGTATCTCTGAGAATTAACAAGGCTGTTTTTGTTACTGTGTCTTTAAGACTGATATATGTAAATGAGCTCTGTTCTGATTAGCTGCCTTGAATTATGCTTCATTTAAAGTGTAGTCCAGGCTGGAACACTCCTTGTAACATGAACAGGCAGAGCTAAACTGCTGTATTATAAACAGGCAGATACGGTCGTATGCAAAAGTTTGGGTGCCCCTGGTCAAATAACATGTTTTGTTGAGTGAAAATAAGTTTACACGTCCCCTCGCAGAGAACACGCTTCTGCACATTCTAATACACCTTTACTGTTTATTTGATGAATTTAACAGGAAATGTGGCCTGTACAGAAGTTTTGTCACATTTTATTTCTTTCTGATGTTAAATTCAGCAAATAAGTACAAACTGTGCACTAAAATTGCCAAAATTTGTTTGTTCCCTGTAGAGGATGTGGTAACTTATGTTCAATTAAAATCATTATAAAGACATTATATAAACAATGTATTCAAAAGGCTTAGTTTTTGCTGCTTAGTTTCCATATAGAAACAGTATGGCCTGTGGAGTGAGTATTGCATTTTGAAGCCTTAATGTTAACATACTACATCAAAGTCTTTTATTTTATAAAAAAGTAAAATTTGGTTTTCTATGATATGACCCTTTAAAAACTTTGATGCAACCTCAACTTCAAAATCATTTATGCTAACAGTCAGTTTTCATAAGGGAAGACATTCTGTACACGGAAGCCTGCACAGCTTTTTTCTTCTTTGCATGGCCTTTAAGCTGTTTTGCTGCCTTTCACTGCTACAAAAGGGTGTTTTGTTGCCCTGAAACGGAAAACATGTTAAGGCTGTGACTTACACTACAAAATAAAACAAATTACAAGATAAATATGTTTTACTTTTCTTTTGTGCACTTTAAACCTGCAGTCAGTGCATTTTCTGACTTTTAATAATTGTCCTACATGATCAACTGTTTCAAGCCTACCATGTATGTACAATTGTATGCAAAAGTTTGGGTCCCCCTGGTCAAATGATATATTTTGTTGATTTTCTGGGTGAAAATAAGTTAACACATCCTCTACAGCGAACATACTTCTGTACACTTTTGATGCAATAATTATTGTTTATTTGCTGAATTTAATTTAAAAAACTGCAAAATGTAACTCAGCATATAAATAGATTATTATAATGCACTAACAATTTTCCCTGCAGAGGATGTCTTAACTTATTTTCACTTAGAAAACCAATAAAATATGATGTTCAACCAGGGTTTCAAACTTCTGCCTACGACCGTAACGTATGACCTGACTGTCTACGAGCACATGCAGATTTGAATGTGCCATTTTCTTTGTATTTATAGTAAAAAAGCCTTGAGAAATTCTAGAGTTTCAGCACTGGATTGTGTGGCATTTGGTAATGGTGTAGTTTGTCTCACCTGCTTTGCTACAGTCCACTGTGAAGGTGTTCTTCTGGCCGATGAAGGCCTTGGAGAGGCCGGCCCCTCTGGAGACCACCTTACTGGCATCGGATGAAAATTTGGGCAGGGAAGCAAAGGAGCCTGCCACGGAGGAAGACTTCGTCACTGTCTCCACCAACACGGATGAGGTCTCATGGAGATTGTGCCCACCGGAAAGACGCGCACCTGAAAAGATTAATTATTTCTTTATCTTCTTGTTCTCTACAGGTAAAATTGACCTGCTTCTGGGTTTAACAGTAAAATGATGTTTCTCACAGTGACCCCAACTTTCCTCTTTATACAACACTTCCTGCTTGTGAAACTTTTAGCACAGTTCTGACTGTAGTTAATAGAACACTAATAGAAAAATCAAAATTATATAGCTAGCCCCCCTCTCTCTCTCTCTCTCTCTCTCTCTCTCTCTCTGTCTCTCAGTTCACTCACACACACACACATACACAGACAGATCAGTTCATAAACTGCTGTATCAGTGCAGGTTAACAGCCAGACTACAGTGCATGGAGGAAGCCGACCTTCAGTAACGACAGGAAGTGGTGAGACCGCAAGCACCAACGGCACTTTCCAAATCAGGATGCACCTCCACGTCCCACAATGTATGGGAGTGCAACCATTTAGAAAAAAAAAAAATGCTTTTATTTTTTCTCTAGACAGAAAGGCTCAAAATAGCTTGGTGTAGTGCAACAGTATGGTCTCTCACCAGAGACTTTAGCTTTGAAAGGGCTGCCAACGATGTGCTGTGGTCCTCCATATTTGATGGAGATGAGGTAGCTGCCAGGAGCCATGGGCGTGTACGTGACCTTGTAGCCCTCCGGACACTCCTGGCAGTCCATCTTCACCTTAGAGGGCCCGTCGATGGTGACAGACAGCGCACCGGATCCAGCATTGCATGTGTTTACGATGAAGTCAGAGGGCACACCTTTGAGAAAAGGGGAAGAGAGAAGTGATTTGAGGAAGTGTTAAGATGTGATTTCTTAAACATCTGACAGGTTTATATCAGATCTATGGAAGATTTTGATGGCCATGACCTTAAGTGAACATTTTCCCATATGTATGAATATACATATTCCTGTAAAAAAAACCATGTACTTCAGTAAAAGAAGACATTTCCTGTCCCAGTGCAAATGTAAAAAAATTACTTGCTTGTACTTCAGCATACAAATTTAAAGTACTTGAAGTTATTATAGTGTAGTGTGTATATTGTGTATAATGTGTAATATATTTTGATGAACAATTGTTTTTATTAAGGAGACGTGTGTGGCTGCAGACATGAAAAACAGAGTTAGCTGCTTAAATAGAAATATATAGAACTGATATATGGTATTGATAACTAGGCTGCTGCCTTGTAAGTTTCATTACTTGAAAATCTTCATAATTTTCATAACAGTGTTACAAACGGAAGAAATGTTTGTCACTTTAGTTTACTTCATTAAACTACTTAGTTCATCTTGCAATTACTGCTATAAGCACAAGTATTTAGAAACAGAATGTTCAGTGCTTATGCATGTGTCCCTATGAAAGTAGCCTACAAATAAAGTGTTATGTGTTATCTCCCTGCTTTTAGTTTAGGTTGAATAGCTGATAATTAGGCTCTTTTTTCATTAACGATCTCCTGATGGTCGTCATTGTCACTAGGCAACTTAACACTGTCACTAAGGCCATTTAGCCAACACCATTTAGCCAACACACAGCCTGTGGTTGTTGAGTTTGGGTCAGGTTCGGATGGAATTTTATCTGGTTTGGATTATAAATTAGATGCTGTGGGTCAGTCTGGATTCTGCTGACGCAGTGTTGTTGGGCTATAATCAGGTTCAGACCAAAATTTAGACCTGATTACAGCTCTACACCTGATATGTTTGACATATTGATGTGTTTGTTTAGATGTATAAGTGGGTAAGGTTGAATACCTGTGGTTCCTCCCTCCAGGCCTGGCCCAAAAGCAGACACCATGCCTGGGTCTCCAGCCTGGCCTGGCTCACCCACACGGATCTTAAAGGGGCTGCCGGGAATGTGGCTCCCGTTGAAGCGCACATCGATGGAATGCACGCCATTCTCACGTGGGATGAACCTGATTGCATGCTTATCTGCAGAGAGAGAACACAAATTCCTCACAAACAGACCACTTTAGAACAAGCCCAATTGTGTTGGCTTGCTTTGAACTAGTTTTGTCTGTTAAAGGCATTTGAAAACTAAATGAAAGCTTGTGAGATCCATTTGCACATACGTGACTGGGGTGGGTTCGGATGAAGTATTTCTTGGATGGAACGTCTCCCCCCCAGGTGTAACACTACAGTCATTTAATAATAGCTGAACTATATGTGTGTGCATTTGGGTGCTCACCATTGTCTAGCTCTGTGATGTAGCACTCCTCCATGGCGCCAGAAGGTGTGTGCACCTTGGCATCAATCACACCTCTCGCTCCATTCAGCTGCACCGCAAATGAAGCTTCCTGATTCACTTTCAGACCCATCTCCTGAAAAGAGGTAAGAGAGAATAAAACAGTAGTGTAAATACAACTTACTGCTCCATTTGAGACATGCAAAATTCAGTAGTATTGTCAAACACTGAGACACAGATGCATCAAGTTATAAAGCTGAAGGGCTTATTTCCTCATGTGAACATAGTTCAGAGGTTACAATACAAGCTGGAACAGAGTAACTAACTCCAGAAAGAATGCAGATTACCCCTCAATACATGCACCATTCACTTTATTAGACAAGCCTCACTGGCCACTTAATGAGCTACACCAACCATACGGGTCCAGCCTATTGGCGTACAATTATGCTCAATTTCTCAAACACACAATGATTGCTGCTGCTAATAAATTAAAGCTACACTATGTAAGTTTTGGGGATATGGAGACCTCTCTGGTGGAAATATGTAACTGCACACAACATGCAGAAAAACATTTTGTAACACTTTTTTTAGACCTAAACATATAGCTAGGCCCTCTAATAAGCCTGTGAATGTGACGTTAATACAGAAAGACTGAATGATGTGGTCCAAAATACTCCTCTAGAACTTGACAGGATGACTTGCTGCAGCTCTGGACACCAAACAAAAAAAAATCCTATGTAGTGCAGCTCTGTAAAATTTATCAGCAAGAGAGAGAGGGAGTTGACTTTCACCTGCAGGCTGGTGACAGTGAGTCTACGGGCGTCATCAGACAGTGTTGCTATAGGAACGATGAAAGGACTGTCTGGTATGTGTTCATCGTTGAACTTGATTGATACTTCATAGTCACCTGAAATACAAGGTGAGGAGCAAATACATTCGCTCAACGTATAACCAAGTCCAGACATTAAAAGAAATATAATTACTGAAAAAAATGTCCAAATGAGAAATCAGACAGAGTCTAACTGGCAAGTACACAGTTTGACACACGCAGTGTAATTAAGTTAACAATCAAAATTTAATTGGTTGTTTTGGCAGATCTTACCAGGCTCTTGGACCACATAAGCCACTCCACAGGAGCCATCCTTCCTGTCCTCGAAGGAGATTTCTGCTTTACTGGGTCCTTCCACAGCAATAGACAAACCACCCGCACCAGCCTCACGTGTCCAGATACTAAACTCCGCTACAAATCACATGCAGATGCACACAGATAGGTCAAAAACAATTCCTGGAAATACTGCTATCAAAAGAAATTACAAAATCCCAGTGGAGATCTGTTTACTCTAATGTGTATTTAACTTTAGTTAGAGCAAAATCATACATTCAACACAGACAGAAATAGACATATATACTCTGAACAATTACCATTGACAAATGCTTTATCTCAACTCAGTCAAAAAATCTAAACAGCCTAATTCCAGTCATGACAGACAGAGCAAAGTCATGTGACACATTAAACTATTAAGAAATTGGGTCTTATTTTTTTATTATTGTTACTTTTACATTATTATTATATTACATATTATTATTATTGTTATTATTATTATTATAACATTATTCATCGTGCATTCAATGACACTATCTGGGATTAGAAGTATCAGTTTCATTTAAAGGGGCCAAATTGTTCTTGTATTTTGCTTGTTGGCAAGGTCCACTTGTAAATTTTGTGTGGGTTTAAGTATCAAAATTAGTCAAAACTCAATTTTACATGATCGTTTTCCAACATGTCTTTAACCCCTTAGTATTGAATAGGCTGTTTTTGTTACTGCACCTTTAAGACTGATACAGTAAAGTTGCTTTGTTATGATTAGCTGATATGTAGATATATGTTACATATGCTGAATAGCCAGATATATGTAAATGCATTGGTTTCGTGACATCACAAAAACTATGTATACAAAGTGGGCTGTTTTCGCAGCTTAGCTTCAGAATATTGACTGTATGGACTGGGGAGTACATTTTTTTTGTAATTTTAACAGCATTCATATACTACATCTATTACTTTTTTATTTAAAATAGTTTATTTTCCATGACATAGGCCCTTTAAAATTGTGCACACGAACCACATGGATTATCTTAAGTTGAAGTGGCTGGGGAAAACAACAGAGATGAGAACAGAAATGTCTCCTACCAGGCACTCCTGCCACTCCTCTGTCCAGTCCAGTGCCACCAGCCCGCACTTTATGGGCTCCTCCTTCCCCAAGAGGCCCAACGGTGAACTGGAAGGGGCTGCCAGGCACATGCTGGCCCCTGTATTTCACATTGACTGTGTGAGGACCCATCTCCTGGGGCACGAAACGCACACTGTAGGTGCTGTCTTCACCCTCAATGATCTCAGCGTCTTCTGTCTTACCGCTGGGACTCGTCACCTGAGCTGTCATCTCCTGAGTGCCTGTCTCACCTGAAAGAGAGAATATGACCAGAAAGAGAGTAAGAGAAAAAGATGCATACTGATGGGAGCAAATAAAGATAGCGACAGAATATATAACATAAGATATGGCATATAAATTCTTCCACAGACAGGATTAATGTGTGAGAGGCAGTGGTCTGTGTAACCCTCAATGACAGTGAGGGCATTTCCAACTCAGCTCATATCAAACATTCTTGCAGCATGAATTGATGGGCTCTTTCACAGTCAGAAAGCCCATAAACTCAGACACACATGCAGACCCAGGACAGATACACTGCACACACATGCATCAGTGAAAACGCTGGAAGCAATTGAAAGCACTGTACTATAAACTACAATCATAAGTATATGGTGCCAGTTTGCAGACACTTTTGACACAAAATTTGTGACACAAAATTTTAATTTTCGTGCTGTTACCTATGAATTAAGTAAGAAAGAATGCCTCCATAGGTTTTGTTAACATGAAACATTTATTTTTATGTTAATGTATTTACTGACATGCTCAGCTTCATGATCATCAAAGTATCTTCCTTGGTATAAAGACAAAACTTTGCCTAAATAATGATTTAAGAGTTTTCTTTTCCAAACTATTCTTAAAGCACATACCAAAACTTTTTGGGCCCAAAGATGGTTTGAAAAGCTGAAACGTTTGAGTTCTGATGAGCACTGACACCACAGCATAGCAAAAAGTGATATCTTAGCAAGTGAAACCTTACAACCACCCAGGATGCCATAGCAACCACCTAGCAACAAGCTGGAATATCATAGCTAATACCTGGAATTACTATATAAACCGAAATAAGTTATCAGAAACAATAGTGTTCTGCAACACTTGACAAGTGTTATCAGCTGGTTTTGTCAAGCCAAATTAAGTTTTCTTCACAAACTTTCTCTTTCTAGTTTTACTTGTAATTTTGTCTAGTGAAATTAGCTCTCTAAGGATTATGTCTGGAAATAAGCAATATTTTCTGCCGAAAGAATGAGACAATTTATCTAGACAAAATGATTTAAAACAAGTAAAAACATAATATTGAAATGAGCTGAATAATCGTATACTATTACAACAGTCTAATAATGAGAAATATTGGATATACTGACTAGATTTAAGATGTTTTTAATTACCAAGATGTATTTATTTTGCAGTGTAAAATGTCAAGTGCCAAAACATGTTTATTTATTGAAAACATTTTTAGAAGCCAAGCGTGACCATATTTTTGACATGCAGTGTGGACTGATGAGTTTGTAAAACTCTAAAAACTCTAACTTTAAGTATGTGAGCCTGTATGTGTGAATAATCACACATTAGTTCTTCCAAATGAGTAATATTTAAACACTCTGAATCATCCAGCATGAACCAAGCACCACACACATGCACTCAAACACACCCTCGGGTTGGCGGGCCTGGATGCCGGTGAAGGACCCCATACTCTCTCTGCCCAGGAAGCCTCCGAACACATCTCTGAAGGGGTCTCCCCCAACCTGTGTGCTCTCCTCCACGCGAACCTCACGTTTTGTCTCTCCGGCCCGCGTCTTGCTGATCTCTGTGCGCTCGGTGCGTGTGTATGTGTGGCTGCTGCGTGTGAAGGTGCGGGTCAGCCGCTCCTGGGCCGAAACCATCTGAAACCAGTTTCCTGCACGGCGCAGTGGGGGGGCCCAGAGAAAACGAGGAGAGTGGAAATACCAGAGACACAGAAAGAAAGAGAGAGAGAGAGGAAAAGATGGTGAAAAAGAGGAAACTGGGACAGCTAAAAAAAATATGCTGGAAAGCTGAGATGAAGTGGATGGTTTATAGTCACATGCAAAAGTTTGAATGCTCCTGGTAAAATAATGTTTTGTTGATTTGTAAGTGAAAATAACCTCTGCAGAGAGCAAACTTTCTTTTTATTTGCTGAGTTTAACATATTGTAAAAATCTTAAATCTTAAATATGCCATAACTTTTGCTAAATTTTTCCCCAGTATTTTAAATTCAACAAATAAACAGTAATTATGCATTAAACATGCAGAAGTATCGTCTCTGTAGAGGGTATGTTAACATTTTTTTTTTAATGTAGGTTTTACACACTCTCTCTCTCTCTCTCTATCTCTAATCTAAAAAGGAGCACAAATCAGGAAGAAAAGAAGGAAGAAAGGAAAGAATGTGCAACAGATAGAATATGGGACAGGCAGGGAAAGCGACTTGGCCTCCAACACTGTTTGTGCTTCTCCATTGAACTCTCTTATACTATCAAAATGACTGAGTTAAGCTGGACTTCTCCCTCACCTGGGATTTTGAGATTGAGGTCACAGGTGCTGCCCACAGTGGCGATGGAGGGAGCCTGCCTCCTCCTGGTGATGCTCTCCTTTATCCTGCCCTCTCCCAGCACCTTCACCGTGAACGGACTCCCTGCAAAGCAACGGAATCGTGTCAGAGAGATTTTCAGCACAGCAACAACTCTCTCTCTCAGACTCTTCACATCTGGCTATGTCCCAATACTGGGAACACTACTTAAGACCTAAGAACAGGAGAACTAACAGCAGAATAACTAACAACTAGATGGCCCTCTAAACAGCACAAAAAGAAGCATGAAGAATGCTCTGAAAACTATGATGTGAGAGAAAAAGAATTTACAGGCTGGTTAAGTGGAAAAGGAACACATGTTGAGCGCCTGTCGTGATGCTAAAATGAACAGGGGCTGTGTACTGTACCTGGCACGTGCTGGTCAGCGAATTTGATGTTGATGATGTAAGTGCCAGGCTCTGTGGGGCAGTATGTCACTTTACATGTGCCATCCTCCACGTCCTCACAGTTTATGTCCACCTTGCTGGGACCCTCAATGGACAGACCCAGACCACCATAACCTGACAAAAGGAAGAGGAACATTTCAGAGTTTAGCTAAATGTTTGGCTTGAATCGCACTGCTTTGATGCAGTCAATAGAGTGAATACAGTAATCCCCCATAGCCATCAAGCTTCCTTTACTTAGCAGCTAGATGTCTGAAGTGTTATTCAGATGGGATTAGCTGTACACATGGAGGTGGGGTAACGTAATTATTACCAGTGTTTCTTAGTGATTTTAAAAACATCCAAATCCACTACTTCACTCATTTTTATTGACTACAAGTTTTTGTGTCTGTAAAGATTCCAGCGGCTTTAAAATAAATTGTACAAAGACCCAGGTTATATTAATTCTGCCATGAGGGTAAATTTTTCATTATATCCTGTGGAAAAAAGGTTTTCCTAAGTATTGGAAATTAGAGGCTTTTCAAGAAGCTTTTTCTTGTATACTGTGTGGCCCAAATCAAGCTGATGCGTATTGTCCTATGACTCTAAACATTAAAATGTAAAATGACAGAGAAAATCACAGATTTTATGCAGTAATTATGACTGTTGGCCTGACAGTTAAATTGAAGGTTAGGGTAAACAGAATTACCATTAATTGAAATGTCTGGACATGTTCTGTGAGCAGCAGAATATGTTGAATATGGACCTTTACTGTGATAGAAACACGTGAAGCAAGTAGACACTCTTCTCTCTGTAATTTATATCAAGATTTGTCTTCCAGTGCTAATGGGTCATGAACACTGCAGACGTCCCAGGGTAAAATTACATTACTAGGTGCTCCTGAGTGGCATGACTGTCTAAGAACTGGTGGTTTGCGCTCACCTCCAAAAGTATTTAGCTGTCAAATGATGTTGTGTTAGCAGCAGTTTAAAAAGATTGGCTGGCTTCATATGACTCGGTGGAAGCTTGTGTTTGCCTACACCCTCCTAGCACTGGTGGTATTATGTGATTGCAGGAGTCCTTACTAGTGGGTGTAATTGGATATGACTAAATTAGGAATAAAATTGAAAAAAATATTTTTTAAAAATGACATGACCAGGCCTCACCATGTAAAACGAATCCCATCCGAACAGTACTTATATTATCTATTCATGTAACATTATGTGAAAGTCACTGGATTATTCCAGTCTACCGAAATCTACCCACAATGGGACAGTAAATGTTAATAATTCAAACGCTACAGTGAAAAATAATGAACAGTCCAAAGAGATGGGTGTACCATATTATAAGACTGATTTGTATGAATTCTGATTGGCGGCTTTTAAGTTTGGGTGTTGACTCTCACCGGCGCTCCTGGTGTCCACAATGAACTCAGCCACCTCAAAGGTGTGTCCTTCCACGAGGCCTTTGCCAAACACCTTCACTTTGCTGGCATCTCCAATCTCAGACTGGCCCACCATGATCTTGAAGGGGCTGTTGGTCACATGTTTGCCATTCTTCTTGACACTCACCACATGCTCGCCTACCTCCTTGGGAGTGAAGGAGATTCCTGAGGGAAGAGCACAAAGCTCGTCAATCGTCTATACTAAGATATTTTGAAGGGGGAACTATCAAGGTGATGCTTGTTGGTTTATAGAAGAATAATTCATTTATGGTCATTCATTTATATATAAAGCTGTGTTATCCACTCTGCTCATGAAGATGTTCCTTCAGAGTAGGCTTGCCACATTCATAAAATTTTAGATGATGATTAACTGTCATATAAATAACTGCTATTAACAATTTTATTTTAATTAATCAAAATTCTGGTTCATTCCATACACCTATTAAAATATACACCTAAAAAAGGCCAAATTGGCTGGTTAGTGATTTTGCTTCCTAGACGTCAAGTTGTAGCTCCCAACTGAAAACAGAAACAGCTCAGGCAAAATTAACAAACATTACTCACAACTACCCTCTAAACATGTAATAGCACCAAATCAGAAATTAGAATTTCTGTTATTTTCATAAGACCCATGACATATCTTTATAAATGCATTTTCTGCTTTCTTTTATTTACATGAATTTATCTCTACTCAACTGATGAAAACACACCCAGTTCATGGCCTGTTTCTTGCAACTTAAACATATAATTGTGAAAGCTAGCAACTGTGAAATAATTAGGCAATCATGTTAATATCGTCTGCAGATTTACTGCAGAGTTTATTTCCAACCCAATTCACCCCTTATTGTCTCCAAGATTTGATGCTGCTGATGTCAGGCCTAGCGAGTTGCTCACCAATGTGGCGGTTAGGCAGTCTCTTGAGCAGACACGGCTCCTCATTGCCAGATGGAGCTCGGATGCTAGCGGTGAGAGAACTCAGGTCTGTCTCTGTGATTTTTAAGGACACGTCTGTTGCTGTGCCAACATTTAGCTGGGATGTCCTCATTGACTCGTCCCCTGTGACAGACAAAGAATAGAATGGAGAGAGAAAAGAAAAGAGAAAAAAAGATGAAATAGATAAAAAGGGGAGAAAGTTAGATTTGTGAGAAAAAAGTAAACATAACAGATTTAAATGTACAGCAACATCCATAATAATGTAGCAACAATAAAGACAAAGTGCTCCATAGTGTGTACAACCGAGTTCTGTCGCAGAATGGTTTAATAAACAAAACAACGGCACATGAGGCAGGACTAAGAGAAAGCGGGGGTGGGGGGGAACAGGTGTTTCCTGTTCAGATAAAGCCCATAATGCTAATAACAACATGCTTTCAACATTCACCTCAGGCTGTGCGGATGTGGCGAACTCCCCCCTAAAGTGACAGCCTGCAAACAAATAGGTGTTATCATGCACACATGCACGCGCAGACACAGACACGTATTAATATATCTACCATTCCTAGACCTCGTAGAGAAACACTGCATTGCTCTTTTCTCTTTGACACACCTACACAAACACAAACATGCATGCACCCCCCCAACCCAACACACACACACACACACACACACAGACCTGTAATCTTGGCCGTGAAGGGGCTACCAGGGATGTGCTTGTCATCAAACTTGACAATGATGTTGTAGTCTCCAGGCGCAGTGGGTAAGTAGGAGACAGTGCAAGTGCCATCTTTATTGTCCTTACAGCTGATTTCTGCTTTAGAAGGGCCTTCCACTGCCAGAGAAAGACCACCTGATGCAAAGAGGAAAGACAGCACTCCACTTATGATTGTACAGAACATTAGGTAATTAAAACTATCCATCAGCAGAGAAGCAGTTCTGGCAGGGCTGCCCAGAAGAACACTTTACTGCTCAAATGTTGCTCTTTGCTGGGCTCCCAACTTTCTGCTCAGGGCACCCCAGATGGTCCACAGTTTTCCCTCATCCCTGTGTTTTGGGTTGGAATAAAAAATGTGCACCGTCTGGGAGGCCCAGCAGTCTGGGGGCCCACCATTCTAATAAAATTTCTTAGGAGAGATAGCATTACACAAAAAGAGATGATGGAGAGATGAGAGTTTAGTTGCAGGTAAACATAAGCGTTATAATCTTGGCAAATCTGAGCACAATGTTTGTCTTTTTACTGAGATCTTTAGCAAAACTCAAGAGAAAACATATCTATAGGTATAAGTGGGCTTCTTGCTCAGTTTTAAGCAAAAGTCCCCTTTATTTTTCCATCTGATTTGTTGTCCCGGAGAAACTACAGAAATTGCCAAGACCTCTTTTTTGATGTTTCTTTCCTATAGGTGTGTGTAAGCTTTTTGAGCTGGTAGCGCTGGTGAGTTGCAAGTGTTACAGCACAAATTAAAATATTGTAGCACTGTGATAAAAACAACATAATAATGCTTGTAAAAAGTATAATCTCAGCAAGTGAAACAACTGGTCGTATTAACACTTAACTCAGAGGGGAGAGATCTACACCAGCAGGATCACACGAATGTGCATATGGCTCATATTTCAAAATGGTAAAGGCCAGTGTTATTTATGTGCTAAATTTAATCAGTTAATTCCAAAAATGACATAAGCTTAAAATAGCAAAGGCAGTATGTACAGCAGAGGGTGCAACAGCCTTCAAATGCTGAGGAGTTTTACATAACATAACCCCAAATTAAACACCTTTTGGGCATCTTGTACTGGAGGCCTATGTTTACAAACATCTAGATTTGTTCTATACTGTTCATTCAATATACCCGATGGACTACAACTGCCATGAACACTACAACTTAACGTGCAGCACAGTTCACAGTTCTATCACACATGTGACTGTGATCTGTTTTGTATTCACACAGGATTCATTTCTCCTAAACAACAACAATTGTCAAACAACAAACAACAATATTGTCACACTGTACAGTCCTCAATGGCCACTGTACCTTCTCCTGCATCCTTGGTGACAATCGTGAAGATTGCAGGTTTGTTGACCATGCCATGACTCAGCCCAGGCCCGTAAGCAGTCACATGGCCACTGTTTATGGCATCAACATAGAACTGCAGTGGACTTCCTGTGAGAGGAGATAAACAAATCAAACATAAGGTTTTATTCTAATACTGAAGACAAAAGACAAAATATAAAGAAATCATATATGCGTATGTTAGCACCTGGTATGTGGTTGCCATCATACTTGATGTCCATCTCGTGCAGGCCTTTCTCAGTGGGGGCATATTTCACTGTCACTGTCCCATCTTTATTGTCAGTGATGTGAGGCCGAGCAGTCTTACCAGAAGGCATACGCACCTCACCTGAGGAAGACACAGGGTTACAGTCCTCCGTTGCACTGAACAAGTGGAATGGAATACTATAAAAGCAAATACTATAGACCTCTGAAGTCGTGCATCATTCTGTAGTCAGCGTCCATATTAAAAACTCTGGGTCTAGGCTGGATTTCTCTATGACAAAAATTAATGGGATTTTTGAAATTTTCTGCTATCACATCCTTTTGGTACACAAAAAGGTTCCAAAGCCACACTGTCCTGCATACATTTTTCCACTGAATGTCACTGGAGACTCTGAATTACGAAGTTGTAATCTGCCACTCCTAAGCAGTGAAATGATGTCACACAAATATATGTCTAGTATTAAATTTCAATGTTCTAAGAGAACTATTATATAACAACAACTGCTACTCCAAATGTACTCTATGACTGCCAAAGCAACTTAACCACCATATTTGATAAAGCTTGCTGGTTTGTGTGTGGAATTCTGGCAAGGTTGCCAGTCCTATGATGTCCATTCAGTGCACAGCAGTGTTATCTTGCATGTAACAAAATTCATATGTTGACTCCTTAACAACCTCATAATTCAGAGGATCCAGCAACATTCAGATGAAAAAACACACACAGGGCAAAATGTATCAGCTCTAGAACCCTAAAATCCCATTGAATTTGCCATAGAGAAATCAAGCTTAGACCCAGACTTCCTAATATGGGCCTGACACTGACTACAGAATGATGACATGATTTCAGTGGTCTATTTATAAAATTGCAGGTCTTTCTGGACTGTGAACCTGTAGGTGTAGAATCACAAATGTGCCACAAATGCATTCTTTCATTCCAACTTCTGCAAGATTGACCAAGCTGTACAGAACACTGGTCAATATCTAGTGCATAGCTATGTTGTCAGTATTGAGTGTGTTCATTACAAATTGCCTATATATAGTATGCATGTGACTGGAAACAGGATGAGAATAATTTAGGTATTAAAGCAAAAACTGTGCCACCACATCTCATTGCACTAAATGGAAATTTTGTCTACAGTGTGTAACAGTTGCTACAAAAGAACGCATTTGTGGGCAGAGCACAAATAGGTCAATTCTCAGATACATTCAGTATTCTGTTAACTTCTCAAACCTGTGATCTCTCCTTTCTGCACTGTGAACGGGATGACCAGGTTAAAGGGGCGGAGCATAGGCTCCATGCCATTGATGGCTGTGACTGGCTCCTCGGTGGCCTGGAACAGAAAGAGATTAAAGTAAGCACTGCTAGCCAATAAAAAAAGGAAAAGGCATGTGAACATAGCAAGATGAGAGGCACTGTCAGAGGCACTGGCAGATCAGGCATGGACCCAGGCTGCATGGGCACCAACAGAGCAATAAAAACAGCGCTGGATGAACGCAGCAACAAGCAAGCCATGCAAAACGGGGAGCAAAATGACAACAAAAATGCAAGACAGAAGACACAAAGCTCAGGTCAAAATCTCTGCTTATACGAGTTTAGACCAAGCAGCTGAAACGGTGTTGCTTCCAGGAAGCCTTCAGCAGCATAACCCTTAAAAAAATTATTTTTGCATAATGGATGGATGGAACAGATGAGGGGTTAAAAAGGAAAATGAATGGGACTGGTGAAAGCAAAAGGGAAGGAGTAGAGAGGGCTGAGATGTGTACCCAGTGAGGGGAGTAGCCCTGATAGGGGGCGTAGGGCTGCTGTAACTGCACTTTATCACACGGCTCCTCTATTATAGGAATGGTATCAGACGCCTGGGAATGGAGGGAGTCACACCATTACTTAACCACAACCACACACACACATGCAATTGCACATAGTCTAAATTATATTTGTAGGGATGCACGATATATTGGCAGCTGATACATTGTTGCAGATAAACTTTATCACTATTATTATTTGTCCGATATTGAAATTTCAGCCGTTAATTACAACACTTAATGTCCTATTTCTAGCTTGCACGTGCAGTGAAGCATGTGTGGAAGCACGTGAAGTCACTTTTATACACTCTTTTAGATCACACAGCAGCCTCTGCTGGCCAATGGTTTCCATTTAACGGCACGTAATGTAATTTACTGTCGTGAGAAGAACAACTTTCATCACAAACTGTATTTTAGTTGGTTAGAGAGTGAGCTTTCTAATCCACGTATATCCATTTTTAATTTGAAACAAATTTTGTTATATATATATATATATATATATATATATATATATATATATATATATATATATCCTTTTTTATTATGAATGAACTAAAAAGATAGATGACAGGATTTCTAGTGACTTCAACAGCAGCAATGATGTGAAGGTACATGTGAATATTATAAATCAAATTACATGGTTTGTTGATATTTTATGGTAAAAATAACACATCTTCTACATAGACCACGCTTGAATACAGCATTTAAGTGCACAATGTCTGTTTATTTGCTGAGTTTAATGTATTTAAAAAAAACATAAAATCTAGAATGTTCCAGTTTATTTTCACTTAGAAAATTTTTTTACAGTGCATTTAGCTTTTTTACAAAATGCAAAGCCAAGTTTATTTTTTATTGCAAGTGAAATAAATTAATTTGTTTAAATTGATAGAGATATATCCAATATAAAACAGATAACCTGTTACCCTGTTGTGTGTGTTCAGGTTTGTCTCTAATATGGTGCTGCAGAATGAGTGACTAAGGATGCTCTTAGCTTCACTTTAAATGTCAAAACAAACAGTCAAAATGAACCTGCAGTGGGCTTTTTCCTCTTGCGTGAACATATCATTTTAACATTTTTCACTAAATTATCTTCAGTCTTTCAAAACACAGGGTGACATCCAAGTCATAGCTTTTTTAATGTACAGCCTTTAGTTACAGGGTATGACGATTTTTATAGCCTCCAGTTCTTCATTAGGTAATAATGATATTGAACATTAGTTGCTGTATTCAATTCCGTATTTCTGTTGCTATTATCAGTTCACATAATGCTGTGAATGGCTTTAGATAAAAATACATAAAGTGATGTAAAACATTAAAATAATAGTATAATCTAAACGATCGGTTTATGATATTGGTATCAGCCACATTAAGGTTTTTTTATCGGTTAGCGTACCAGGCCCAGAAATTCTGTATCGCTGCATCTCTACATATTAGCTTATGTGTAATAAAAAAGTAGTGTTCTGTATGTTATAACATGCATTTTATCTCTGTCTAGGATCCTAGCACAGAGAAACAAGTCATCACAGTATAAAGCACAATTTAAATATCAAGACTGTTTACAAGAATAATTTGCATGCACTTGTAATCTATCTGAGTGGTCCCTTCCTTAAGCACCCTTTAAATATTTCTTCTGTTCAAGACGCTAACACATTTAACGTAAGTAAACAGTGCATAGACATTGATGTCCTGGGTCATTTTTGTCAGAAGTTGCAATACATTACTTGATTCAAATGTGTAACCATTCCCACATGGGTAAAAAAAAATATTACTTCAACACAGTTACTGCTAAAAGCAAGTGAGCTTGAAGACAAAACTAAGTTAACATAATACATATCTAATGTAGAAATGATGTACACATTTGAACCAAGTAAATTCAATGTATTTTTTGTGAATAACAAAAATGTGCAGATCTATCAGATCTAGCTAAGACCCACTAAGACAAAGTGCTCACCACCACATGGAAGGGGCTGTTGGGGATGTGCTCTCCTCCAAAGCGGATAGTTATGACATATTTCCCCGGCTCCGGGGCTGTGTAGTAGATATCAAAAGTTCCATCTGAGTTCTCCACCACATCCACATCCAGTTCAGCTCCATCAGGCGTTGACACTTTGCAGGTGACCTTTCCCTTCCCAGCAGCCTTTGCATCCACAGTGATGACAGTCTCCTCGCCAATCTGAATGGTAGGTCCGAGTCCTGAGCCTGATGCAGAGTGCACATGCAGTTAGGTCAAGAATATCTCTATATATAAAACACATGTAAAACACAATACAATATGGGAGATGTGGACAAATGTTTAGTATTAAACTACTCACCCAGGCCATGTCCTCCAATGGAAACTGCAAGATAACAGAAAAACAATACTACCATTACCATACATTTACACAAAACGTTATATGCTGTAACTCCAACAATTTAGCAAGGTCATGGGTAACAGCTGTAATAGGAAGGTCCAAGTAATAGGAAGGTTAACAGATTCTAACCTGTTACCAGGCACTTGCTGGCATCCCCAGTGGGCAGAGCATGGATACGGTAGGGGGAGTAGGGAATCTCATCTCCGCCGTATTTGATGGTGATGGTGTAGCGGCCTGTCATGTCAGGTACGTAGGATACTGTGTATGTTCCATCTCTGTTATCTCTGATGTTCGCTTTCTTCGGTTTTCCCTCTGGATCCTATGGAAAAAAACACACTATGTTAATGTTTAAGTTTCGATCCTTTTTGTCTGTAGCCCCATTCAAGCAGGATTAGCTTTACCTGGGGAGGTGCTGTCATTTGAGTGATTCCTGATAAGATCTGTGATTTTAATCCATTACGAATCTGCCATGTCTGCAGTGTTTACAAATCTGCTAAGTAAAAATTGCAGCGCAAATTACCTTCTATAATTTGTTAAACTCTGAGCTCATTCAGTAACAGCAGTCCTGTTTGAATCAACCTCACAGTAATGCAATAACAAATCCTGGTAATAAACATCAGCACCTCTGTTTTTTGGCAACCGGGAGACAAGGCTAACCACTAAAATGGAGCTTGATTTAACACAGTTGCTTTATCCCCAAGTTTAAAACCAGGCTACTATAATCTGAAACACTTCTGGTGATGGCCTAATTAGAGGGAGAATGAGATGAAATACCTGAAGGTACCTCTCACGAGGCAGAGACACCTGTTAAGTTTAATGAGCCAACTTTACCATTTATCATAACACTATTCTATGTGGTATTAACTGGAAGTTTCTTTTGTTTTTTGTATCGGTTTCATTTTAATCTTAATGCTGAAGTGAACATCTCAGCTGAGGCATTTTGATCCACGCTACCTGAGGTAGTTTGGGGAAATTACACAGATATTTCATCCCCTAAAAATCAGCCAGTTTAATTCCTTACAAATTACATTACATCCTCCTCTGGCAAAACAAATCCAGCTTGAACAGGGCTTTTGTCTTCACCCAGGGTGCATGACTCTATATGTCTTAGTTAAAAAGCATCATACGAGTTTGTAATCTCTAATTTTTTGCTAAAATAGCTGCATGATTTGTGTTAAGCAAATCTTCTATGTAAGTTAGTCATTCAAGAATTAGCCCAAACTCAATGGAGTGTCAGTCCACAGAGACCAGTAGGAGGAACATTAAGGGCTTTTAATTCATCGCTAAATTAAGACGTTATCAAACACGGCAGGCAAAGTCCACATCCACAAACACCATTGTCCCTCTAGCAATGACAATGCTCTTCTTTGGATGTGCATTATTTGAGACCACTCCGGTATGTTTAAATTTAAAGTTTTCTTATTTTTGTATTTTTGTATTAAAGGTAGCATATCTCTGCAAGACATAGAACCAGAGCCCTGTTTCAGGAACTACAACTCCCAGCATCCCTCAGGCCTATTTTGTCACATATTTAAAGGGCCCATATCCTACGTTTGTTGTATTTTACATTCGTTGTATCCACTGAAATATCGCTGTTGTTGGAAGAAAACCTCATATCTCCAAAACAATAACTTTACAGGAGAAGGAAAAAACCTACTTTACTTTTAATGTAAGTCAATGGAACCAGACGTTTTTCCAAGTCATTCTGTGCCGTTTCTTTTGGCCCATTCATCATAACATTTACAAACACTGTAAAGGGCAACAGACATTTTAAAATTGTCAAAAACTGAAAAAGAACAAAAAACAAGATACGAGGTTTTCTTCCGACAGCAGCGATATGTATTTTGCCACATTCAAAAAGCAGTCCTGGCTGAAACACTCCTTTTAACTCAGCATGAGTGGGAGGGACTGAACTGCTGTAGGCTGAGTAGGAGTGTTAATTTTAGTGACATCACAGAAACAATGAATTCTGTTTTTTGGAGCTTAGATTTTACAGACTAGGGAGTGAATTGCACATTTTGAAACTCTAACAATGTTTACATGCTACATAAAGCTCTTTTATTTCAAGAAAGTGAGGAAAAATCCGTTTTCCACGATACAGGCCCTTTAATAGAACTATAAACGAATAGGAGAAAAGTGCTCCATTTGTGAATTTACATACTGGACATAAAATAGAGCAAGAGAGAGAGGGAGAGAGAGAGATCACAGCCCTAAAGGGGCACTAGACAACTGCCAGCACTCTTGTGGAACTCCCAATAAACTCTTTCCCATGGTTTATATTAGCTTCAGTATGTTCCACAAACATCTTCTGGCATATGCCACACTGCAAGAGCACTGCAATGCTGGAGCTGCAGAAGGTGCTTTACCCTATATGAAGATGAAGTGGAGGCAAAACTAGGGCATAGAGAGGGCACAAGGTGCAAGAGGGTATGAGGGCTCAGGAAGCAGGAATCTTAGGGGAGAGAGGGAGGAGGGGAGATGTCGGACACGATGAGGGGACAAAAACAAGAGGGGCTAAAAATGAGGGGTGGCCTTACGCAGCCTTTCCTAAGAATATAGAAGGGGATGGTGCCCTTTACAATATGGCTGTCCCAGACCCTTCTACCCCAGTCCTCCACATACAGAGAGACCTCACGCCTGCACCCATCTGGATCCTGCAGCGACAGCAGGGAGGGGGGAGGGGGTCATGGGTCATGGAAGAAGGCAAGTGTGGGGAGCAGGGACATGGGACTTTTAATTTTTAAAGTTTGAGAAACAGCCAACAGGTCAGTTAATTAACCCTTTAAGGACCAGCCTAGTAGCCATCTGGACATACCTTTTCATTTTTAACTGTAATGCAGTGATACAATACACTATCTACAAGTGTTTAACATCATCTGATCCAACACAAACTCTGCTTCTCAATGATACCAGTAACAGAAAATGAAAACAGTATACAAATGAAAAAAAACAAAACAGGAAACATTTTCTCTGAAAAAAAACAACAACAAAAAAAATACAGAACAAATTTGAATGAATAAGCTGAAGAGTAGACCCTTTTACAAACTCCATCATTTACAGTCGTATGCACAATTTTGGGCACCCCCTGCTCAAAGTAAATGTTTTGTAGATTTTCAAAGTGAGAATAGGTTTGTAAGACGAGAACACATTTCTGCACATTTTAATACTCAACTGCTGAATTTAACACACCGTAAAATAATAAAACATAAAATGTGGCATGTGCAAAAGTCATGCCATGTACAGAAGTTATGCGCTAAAATTAGAGGAAAATGCCATGTTTAAGTGTGTTCCCTGCAGAGGATGTGTTAACTTTTCATTTCGAAAATCCGCCACGTTTGGCAAACGTTTGCATATGACTCTATTGCACATGACTACTTTTCTGAGCTCTGTCAGTAGACGTTTTTGATTTCTTACTGTTAACATGTATTTTTATCCAGTTGTATGGAGCTTGTATCTTCAGCCTGTTCATCACTGCCCTCAAAAATGATTTCTATTTTTTTGCACTGATCTTGAAGAAAATCTTGAAAGTCTGAAGTCAAATCTTTTTGAACTGACTTGGACAGTCTTTAAATCTGAACCCCTGCTTTGACTGGATCTGATGGATGACATATTTTATACTCAGAATAGCTAGCAAACAATGACCAAACGTGTAAAAAAAGTGAACTTTGATTTGTCTGTGATCTAATGGGCAGATGTACTGGGATTTCACAGAAAATCTGCTACCATGCCCTGCGGTAAACAAAAGGTTCTAAAGTAGATAAGTTTGTCCTTCGTTTTTCCACTGAATGTCACTGGATCCTCTGAATTACAAAGTCGTTAAAGAGTCAAACTATGAATAATGTTACAGTCTGCACAGGACTGACATCAGAAGGCTGGCAACCACATAAAAATGCCCCAAACGAACCAGCAAGCTTTGTCAAGTGTGGTAGCTAAGACGCTTCAACAGTAATAGAGTACATTAGGAGTAGTCAGTGTTGTTATATAATAGTTTTGTTTATTAGTAGACTTACTTTCATGCAACGTCATTTTAACATGCAGTAGGGACTTTTAACATGCTGAGTAGTAGGGACCTCGTAATTCAGAGAATCCAGTGACGTGGGGGGGAGAGTGTGCGTGGAATAAAGCGTATCAGGTTTGGAACCTTTTAGTTTACCTTATGGTGCAATAGCTGCAATTTCCTAAAATCCCATTAATTTCTCCCCTACAAAAATCCTGCTTAGACCTGCAGTTTTAATATACGCATAAACGCTGACTACAGAATGACGCATGACTTCAAAAGGATGATACACCACACCGTACACACATACGGTATTTTGTCAGAAAGCTCAGCTTCTACAGTTTTAGGTAGACATTAACTTTGTTGATATCTTAAATGGTTGTTCAGTTATTCAAGTTTAAATATGTCGCGTCTTGAACACATCGTGGTGCGACATTCGTCCTTAAAGGGTTAAAGACATAATCATAGAACTGCTTTCCAAATTCTACTTAAATAATAAGGCACTTTTTGTTGGGAAAGGAAATCACATGACTCACCAAGATCTGGACAGTGAGGAGTCCTTCACCAGCATCACGGGCATCAATGGTGAATTCTACTGGCAGGCTGGCAGGCACACCTGAGGCGTTGAGGCCAGGCCCGCTGGCCCGAACTTTACTAGCATCATGAGCAGGCAGGGCCTTTATCTTAAATGGACTGGAAACATAGAAAGAAGACAGGAAAAAATACCTTCTTACATTCTCTGTAATTACCTCATTCCTATCACATTCCTGTCATACTAACAGAACAGAACAGAAATGTTAATGAAGGAGCAGCTGTTCTGATTAGCAGTTCTAAGTTTAGAATTATGAGTCCTGTGTGAATATATGGTATTCTCACCTGCGTGGCACTTCTTGGTCTGCATACTTGACACACACAGTGTAAGGTCCATCTTTGGCAGGCGTGTAGATCACAGTGTGCGTGCCATCACCATTGTCTGTGATGCTTACAGGCTCAGTTGCCCCTGCAGAGAATGTTGCCATGATTAAGAGTCTAAAAAGTTGACAATCAAAATATAAGTCTTTATAAATAAAAAAGTCATAATGTAGTCAAACTCTGTACTGTATATCTAACTATGTTTTTCAAAATGGCAACATTACAGGAGAAGGAAAAACATTCTTAACCTTTAATGTCAATAATCCTAATAAGTTTTATTTTTTTCCAAGTAATTTTGGACCATTTGTGTTGGTCTCTTGATTGTGAAAAAACCCCTGTATAACATTAGAATAGATTTAAAAAAACTGTAAAAAGTAACAAGAATTTCTTGTTTTGATAGTTGATGTCTTATAAGCTAGTCTGAAGAACAAAGTTTGGCTCCAGATTTCTCCCAGATGTCCCCAGCCATCATATGGATTTGTTAAATTCCATCACCAGCACACTTGATTTTTGGCTGCTTAGCCAAACTAGTTGCTGGATGATAACAGTGATACAAATAATAAAGGGCTTCCTTAAAAGAGATTTTAGAAATGGTATATTTTCACTCTCCCCTTACCAGTTGGGCCATAGAGCAGCACTTCCAGTGGGGCCAGGCCAGCCTTGCTGCAGTCCACAGTGAAGGTCTGTGGCACATGAGCTCGTACCCCATTGCCCAGGCCTGGGCCAGAGCACCTCACCTTACTAGGATCCACCAGCTCCCTTACTGGAACTCGGAAAGGACTGCCTGCAGGTTAACACATAATACATTTATCTCACGTTCCCTCACTTATTAACCCTGCTGTAACCTTTAACCTGAACAAAACTGCATCTTATTCCACTGCTGTTCTCAGTTTGATCAAAAAATACTGTTGTTTAATAGTGAACGAAAGCTTTGGTTCATATTTGTAATACAGGTCCGGCTGAGAGAAGTCCATACTCCACCTGGAATGGGCAAGCCTCCGAACGTGATGTTAACATCATACTCTCCAGGAGTGAAGGGGATGTACTCAACACTACAGCTGCCATCTTTATTATCTTTACAGGACATCTTAGCCTCTGACGGACCCTCAATGGCCAAACCCAGACCACCTGTACCAGCACCCCTGGGAATGAAGACAGGTGAAAGAACAGAGAGCGAGTGAGATCGAGAAAAATACAGATACAGTGGGTGAAGAACAGGCAAGAGAGAGAATAAATGGTATTTTCAAGGTTTCAAAGGTAAGAACAAAAAAATAAAATACGTTATAGGAATATGAAGTATATCAATACAAGGACAATACAAATTTCGGAATATTCTGAGGAAAGAAGAGCTACACATCTACAACACCATTTAGGCATGTGCAGCATTTTTAGCAGCAAATGGAATGCATAATGGGCTATAAATTAATCATATATAAATGTTTATATTATTTATCAGAGGTGTAAAAAGATTTGATTATTGCTCTTCAGAAACAAAGCATCAATAAAACAGCAGTTTTATCAAATTCTCTGATCTCAAAGCTCAAATTTCACTACGATTCAATTCAATGTGATTATATTAGTATGATTTGGTATGACAATTTTTTTTTAATATGGAATACACAAATGAGAGTAGAAGAACTGTTTATATAGTAGTAAAATACAGCAATAAAAACAAAACAATATATCTTTTTTTGGGGATTTTTACATTTGATACTAGGCAAAAATAAGTGCACACTGTAGTGAATACTAATGTAATTGATAAAAACATTCCAAAAGTGCTGTAGCAGAATCACCAGTCTCAGACAGATGCATCACCATGCATCAATGCATGTTTGCAGCCTTATTTATTACATTACACAGAGATATACTGAATAATTTGAATATCAACAATTCATTCATTATGTTGTTGTAGTTGTTTCATATTTAGGATTCAGAAGCTTCATCTTTATATTTTATCATAAAACTAAGAAAAAAGCCTGAGGAGCTGAGAGATGGAGACAAACAGATACAGCAGGCTAGCAAAATATTGTAGGTGATTCAAATTAGTTACAAATGGCCGTATATCTGTACAAATCTAGTATCAAAAATGAAATATAATTCAACAAGTTCTCAATCCTGAACAAAATTTCTGTAAGGTATTTGCCTCACAATAGAACTGAGCTTTGATTACTAAGTCAGCAGTGGAATATGAACATGGCTGCATTCAGTAATCTAGTAATGTTTTCTTCAGTAAAGATTTACGTCTTACTTTTGACCATATTTGCTATCTGGGCAAGCAGAAATCCAGTCACTGATCTGTCTCTTTATCTGGACATAACGTCACATGCCATCTTTGGGATGTACATCGTAAAAAAATAAAATATATACACATATACAAGTATATAACTACAAAATTCTGATTAAAAAACAAATTAGCTATAATGAACAAACATACATAAAGATATGGTTAATTATGAAATACAGATATTATTGTTTTTAAGGGTAGTATTGAGAATAAATATTAGAGTACTTATTTGAAAGCACCAACAAGTATTCAAAGCCTGGAAAATGCTGTTCAGTTTAGAACTAATGTTATATCATGTACCTGGTCTCCACGGTGAAGCGGTTTGGTTTGTTGACCAGACCCTCTTCAAGGCCGGGTCCATATGCCCGCACACGGCTGGGGTCACAGCCCTCTGTTACTGAAACCCTGAATGGGCTCTTCGGCACCGACACTTCATCATACAACACCTCAATCAGGTGCACACCTGCACATTCAGAGCACATGGTTCACAAAGTATACACACAAACATTCACACAGCACTGCTGTATGAAGGATGATTTCCTGTCAGTATGATAAATGGCTTTAAGCTGCTGCAAATATAAGGCTGCAAAAAGAACCACCTTGATGTGTGCAGTGGGAGATTTTACACATGGTAAGGTCACATCAGTGATATTTCCTGTGTAGCTGTGCAGAGTCTGGATCAATAGTGGTGCGAATGAGGATTGTGTGTGGTTATCATGAGAAAACAGGCTGCTGCTCTGGAACTCATGACGCAATACATGCAGTCATCATCCCACTGCAGTTATCCTGCACACAGAGCAATCAATAATGCTGCCATGCTCAGAGTACTGATGAGCAGTATGTGTGTGTGTTTTTATTTCCCTCCATCTGTAACCTTTAAGATGCCCTTGATCAGGAAAGTCAACAAGCAACTGTTTCCTCGTATACCTTAGGACTCAAACTGATAAACATTTGGCCAATAAATCGAGTGATATTAAAGGAAAAGTTTGGGGAAAAATTAAAATTTACATAATTTTGCACTTACCCAGATGCAGTCGTTCAATCAAGATAAAAAAAGAAAGATCAGTCAAGCAAAAGTTGCTTCTTTACTTTAGTATTGGACCTGCTAGGCTAACATTGCTACCAAACACTAGAAGGCAATAGTCACCCAAATCTTTTCCGTAAATACATTCCCAAAACTTCTCTCAAACCGCTTCCAGCTTTTAATTAATGTTGCACAGACTTGTTGATGTGGTTTAGGTCACAATATGACTGTGAACAATAACAAAAGTTCACCGTATAGCTCAACAGTGCGGCCATTTTAAGTGTTGTGCACGCACAGACACTACACATTACATTTGTGAAACCAGTTGTTTCTATTTACAAGTAACTTTTGAAATGTTGAACTTTTTAATTGAATATATATGTTTATAAATAGCAAACAGCAGAAATTGCAAATGTAATCTAGCATGCATATACTGTCAATGGCACTTTGTAATAAAATCAATTAAAAATAACTAAATTAATAATTATGTAAAATGTATATAAATGTTTTCAAGTGGTACACAATATTGAAACAAGCCCTGCAACAACACTTCTAGTGTTTGCTAAAGTAAAGAAGCTAAATCTGAGCTCCAGATATTTCTTAGTCAAATCATTCCTTTAAGGTTCCACAGATGTATCAGCATCAGTGGAAATCTTGCCAATGATTTTACATTATTATTAATTCAATTTTTTTCATTGTTTTTTATTACAAAGTACCATCAACAGCCCAATACAGACCACTTGATCCTTTCAGCACAGGCCTGGGGACTACTAAAGGGTCCCCACTTGTGGTTTGAGAAATTGTCTGTTAAATTTTTGACCAGCAATTAGATTGGCTGACATTATCAGTTATCAGAATTTGGGCTTCTTAAAATCAGTACTGCCATTTTTATGCTGATCAGGTCTTTAACACAACTGCTCATGTCCTATTTGCCTGTTTAAAATGCACACAGGAGACTCTGCTTCATAAAAACAAACCAATCCTGCCTGTTAAATTAATGATCGCCACTCCAGCCGTACTGCCCTCCAGCATGAAGAGAGGCGTTCACAAACTTTACACAAACCACAGCAGTTTGTGTTATTAAATGGCGACACACAGCTTAAGGAAAACGTTCATTAAAGAGGTACAGCATCTGCTCTACAGTTCACTGCTTCCTGCCTCTAGGGCTGTGCTCTCACTGGCTTGCTCTCCAAGCTCAGAGTCCGCCCACTGGCAGAGTCAGCAAAACCTGAAATGCAAACCAACTGACTAAATCCGCTTGATGATTCTGCACTGCCACAGTCAACTAATATTTAAGACCCCACCTAAAACCAAGTGCTGCGGAAAATGCATTCAGTATTTCTAGAGGCGAAACATGCTGGATTGTAATGCTTAAACAAATCTAAAAGGAGCGTCATACCATCCTCATAAGCCGTATACTCCACTCTGTAGGTGCCGTCCCCTTTGTCGGTGATGTAGGCGTCTGTATTGGTGCCTGAAGGGTTGACAATGCGGGTTTTTATATGGTTGCCCCCAGTTTTGTTGTGTGCGCGTGTGTCCACGATGAAGTGTGTAGTGACTTCTCTAAGGACTCCTATATCCACACATAAACAACAAACATACTCCGGTCACCAAGACAGCATCATCACTTGACAAACAACAGGATTTAGGCTCTTCATTTGTCCTTTTTAACCCCTCTAGTCTAGAGATACTATTCATTTTGCTAAACACTCATTTTACATTACACATCTGATTAAACGTAATTACGAGTACATAGTTATACAGGGAGATTCACTCGGAAGAGGCCCCGAATATTCTATAATAACTCTCGCTAGGACAAAGCAATCTGAACGAAACATGTGCAATGTGCTCCTCAGTATATGGAGCTTCAAACAAGCCGGGATGCCCCTACGTCGGAGTGATGTGGTAGGCGCCGGACAGGTGTTGCGACGTTTAACCTCCGTTTGCTACTTACGGGTGCATACCCCCGTACCCCTTCATGTGTCTGGCAGAAAACGGAGATCACTTCCAGCATCGCATTTAATGCAATCGATTACACATACGTCAATGTATGTAGCATACTTTTTTTGGTTTAGATTGCTTCATCCTAACGGGAGTTACAACAGAATATTCGGGGCCTCTTTTGAGTGAATCTCCCTGTATAATGGATTACATTTACATTCGATTGAAATTCTAGATTCAAGTTTGCACTTAGTTTAAAGACTAGGAAAACCCCCTTCCGATGAGGTATCTTGATGGTTGGAGGAGCTTTTGAAAAGCTTTTGTGGGGGTGGATTCTCAATGCTTGTATGACGTGAAAGTGAAAGAACACTGACTGACAAAAAAATATGAATTCTGTTAAACTGATGAGCCAGAGGAACACACTGCTGCACTACAGGATATCACATAAGATGACAAATAACATTAAATGCAAGCTTTAGGCCAGAATATGTTTCAGTGGGTGAGAAATAATTCCTATTAAATTACATCAGGCTTTTGCTATCACTGGCAATAACTGTGAGTTCTAATAAAATAACAGACTCTAAGCTGAGATATTCTTACCTCTGGGTTCGACTCCTGGGCCGTAGACCTTTATTCCACTGGTGTCGACAGCAGGGTCCACCTGAACACGAGCAGGGAACTTGGGCACAGCATGTCCTCCGTAATTGATGGTGATGGTGTACATGCCGTGGAAAGGGGGGATATAGGTGATAGAATATGTCCCATCGCTGTTGTTCTGAATATGGACTTCGGCCTGGGCACCAGAGTCTGAGATGATCTCGATGGTCAGCTCAGCCTCCCCAGCCTTAGAGCAATCCACTGTGAAGGAGGCAACCTCGTTGACCTTCCCTCTCTCCAGGCCTGGCCCACTGGCTGTGACCTTGCTGGGATCGAAGACAGACTGAACCATGGCTTTGAAGGGAGAGCCGGGGATGTGCGCATCAGCGAACAGGATGTTGATGGCGTACTCTCCGGGCTCAGTGGGCAGGTAGGATACGGAGCAGGAGCCATCGCCATTGTCCTGGCACTCAATCTTGGCCTCACACGGTCCCTCCACTGTCAGGCCCAGACCCCCTGTGCCGGCCCCTTTGGTGTCTATGGCAAATGGAGCAGGTTTACCCACAATTCCTCCCTTCAGGCCGGGACCGTAGGCTCGCACCTGGTTGAACGAGACATGATATAAATTGATTAACCAGGATCAACAATAAAGAAGAAAAAGGCTTCTATTTAATGGCTCAATTCTAAAAACTAATCTAATAAACAAAGCTGTCAAAACACAATACTGACAATAACAAAATCACACAGGAAAACTCATAAGCAGTGGAAAAAGTTTAGAAAGCAAGGAGAAATTTTGATTTTAATATGAAAATCAATGCATTCTATACAGGAGTAACTGCTGCGGAATAATTTAGTTCATTGAGTTCAACTGCTATGTAAGTAGACCAAAAATCGTACTGTTTTCTAAGACATTTGTTAAAAATGTGTTGCTTACTACACCAAAGTTAAAGGCCAATGCGTATGAAATTTCTTTTGAGACCCCACATCTATCACAAACTAAAAATCTTTGTGCTCTACAGGCTCCATAATGGCTCCATAATCCTTGGACCCCAATGATTGCCACTTGATCGTCTGGCTCTCATAGCAGATGCGACAATTCACAACGTGTTCTATTTTATCTCATACCAGATAAAATATTTTATATGTTGATATTTTATCACTACCTGGACAAGGTAGAAAGGCACTAATTAAGTCACAAATTGCATGTCACAAATATGTATTTGAGACTTAAGCACATATCGCCATGTTTTCGTCCTTCGACTGTGTACCATAACCATATTTTGAAAATAACCCTTTATGATTTGTTTTTTTTTTTTGTTCATTTTCTGATCAATACAGGATCGTGCCCTAAAGTCTTTTTACGTACTTGTGTCTTTATGTCCATTTCCTTTGTCACATGGAGTGTGCCACGGTACACAGATATCCAATTTGCTGTACTTGTATTTTTCACTGTAAGACATGAAGAATGCAGTGTTTCCAGATGTGCTTAAACTACCCCCTGTGGCCAAGCACACTCTGGCTAACCTCTCTCTGACAGATTAATTACAAACCACATCTTCAAGTTACTTCCTGCGGTGGTTATATGTTCTGCTACATCGTATTTGCTTTAAGTAGCTCATACGACAATGCGGACATACGAAGTGGAACATCTGGCATCATGGACGCACCATGCAGGACAGCAATGACCTCATCGCTCGAGTAATCGTATCCAGAGTTAATTATGGGAACACTGAAGTAAACGTATACAGACACAGACACATTTCTCTGGAAAGTCTCAGGTTAATGAGAGAGGACTCTTGAGATTGGCTTCAGTCATGTGGAGTAGACAGAGGAATGCTCCTAGAGAATGATGATAAATACACTGCATTCATTATTAATGAAGAAGATTGCTAGTTCATATTCAATTACTGAGCTTCAAGGGCCCCTGGGAAACCAGACTCAATCAGTATCACCTTGGAGAAGGTTAGGGCAGGTCTAGAAGGCTAAAAACATAGTACACAGCTACCCACCCACCCTCCAAGGACACAAATGTTCAGCCTGCCTTCCATTATCCCCATAAAATAAACAATCACAAACAGTAGCCAGTTGCATCAAATTAACATAAATTCGATCGGAGCCTAGTTTGAACATAAATTGCCTCTACATTTGAATTTACGAGCTACTAAAATTTAAATGGATACACAAAGTAACATAGTCTCAGTGTAGCCTGAAGTTATTTCTAACCTAATTTACAGTTTCCCATTATTAGGTGCAAAATCCACCATAAAAAACACGTTCACATCTTCGATTTGAGAGATGGGAAACTTAATGTTACCTTTCCTTTAGGTTTACTGTTTGTGTGTTGCTGATTCCTCATTAAATTTGTTGAAAAGCATTCCCAGTTTGAACACTTCCACACAGAGAACCCCAAGCAACAGAAAAAACATATCAAGTTCAACACCACTTTATCACACACACATCATCTAAACCTCTTATCCCAGCTTATCCCAGCTATCATTGGGCAGAAGGCAGGATACACCCTGGACAGGTCGCCAGTCCATCACAGGGCAGACAGACATACACACACAATCACACCTAGGGACAATCTAGCATGTCCAATTGGCCTGACTGCATGTCTTTGGACTGTGGGAGGAAACTGGAGTACCCGGAGGAAACCCAAGCAGACACGGGGAGAACAGGCAAACTCCACACAGAAAGGACCCTCGTTGCCCGGCCGGGAATCGAACCTGTGAGCCTTCTTGCTGTGAGGCGACAGCGCTACCCATTGTGCCACCGTGCTGCCCAACACCACTTTATCGTAAAGCATAATTCATTTGGATTTGTGAATTTATATAGTGTTTAAAACAGGTATGTGTCTATGTACTTGACTAATCACATGAAGTCTAGTTTGTGTAGTCTTGCAAGCCATCACCTGTGAGTCTGTTGGTTTTGTCATTTAACGTGGCCAAGAATGCCCGCTTCTACAGAAAGATGGAATCTGACTGACATGCAAAGCAGCCAATTATGGACAATTGTTTGCATGGGCAGGCTTTACTGTGCAGAGGTCGAAGATAGGACTTCAAAAACTTCAAACTTTAAAAACTGTTTCAATCCAATGAATATATCTAGCACCAAAAGACTCACTGTGGTCACAATATGCAGCAGGAAACTACTTGCTGGTGGTGAGTAGCATAAATTAATCTGAAATATTTAGGAATCACCTTATTTAAGCAATAGAACACTCATGGTTGTATGTTATCGCAAAATAACATCACGGCTGTGATTTGGCCATAGAACATTATGTTACTGGTGATAACACACAACCTTGAGTGTTCTATTGCTTTTATACAACAGTTAAATAAATAAAGTAAGAAATAAATAAACTGGGCCGTGAACGCGGCGTTTAATACGTTTTAATGTTAGCAGTTCCTTCCACCAAATTATAGTTCCTTAACAAGCAGCTTGTTGCTACGTCAGAGTAACAAACTCTGCTCACTCACTGCACAGCCGGCAGTTCATTCTCCAGCTCCTTGTTTTGTTCCAGCCAGTCTGTAAAGCATTTTACAGCCCATTTTGTTTGGCGAATGGTATTCAGTTAATTTCTGGCTGATTCCAGGTTGTTTAGGTGTTCTTCTGTCTCAGCTGCTGACTGAAAAGCTGCTCAGTGGTGATGACAGTTTGGAAATTTAGTGTAGTCTCATCTTAAGAGTCTGACCAAATCGGCTGTCGGTCAAACGTGATCTTAAAAGTGTCCATTTTCTGTTTGTGCACAAAGTAAGAAGTACAAACATTCAAATGGCTTGAGCGTCTCCTATAGCTGTCAAAGTCGTTGCTTAGCAACGGCATCCCAGCAGAGTGATGCAGTGTTTGTGAAAAAAACGTGCTGTTATGGCGAAATAACAACACAGTTAGAACGCTTCAACCAATCGGCTTGTGTGGCCGGAACTAACTGTTGTATAAAATTCAATTAACAACAGCTGCACAATTTACTTCATTTTTAATATGTACATAATGTGACACTCTGGACTGATATGTTTTGATTTTTGACTCACCCTTTAGCCTACTGTTTAATCTGATCTAGTTTTAACGACCTCCCCGATGAAGACTTTAACACATACTAAAATCTTTGATATGTGTATGTTGGTACACTCTTAAATGATATATCTATTGTTTCTTTTTGTGAACTACTACTGAGCTACTACTGAAATAGCTGAAGTAGTTGCAGTAGCTGCTCCTTCCTACAGTAAAAACACAGTTTTCATTTTTCACTTTGGTTTTCCATCTATGATCATTTTAAGCACTTACAGTTATCATGCTTCTCAAATTCTTGAGGTGCAACCAGAATTCTATACATTACTCATTTTAAACAAAGTACTGTACGGATAGTCTTCACACCCTAACTTAAAATCGAGCTACAGAGCACTATGAACTACTATTTTACAAGCTTAGTCACATCTCTGACATGGACAATGTGGAGAAGTGATAGAATAACCAAAATTTTTATTGCACTGGTCACTGACTCCTTTGGAGGTCGCTGAATTCCTGCGCTCACACTGTACTGCACACACTGTACTTCCTTCAGAGTGCTTTACGATACAGCACAGTGTGTGCTGTAGAGTTTAAGTTCTCTGCTCCCACGTTCTTCCTTACAAAGAGAGGTTTGTCTGCTTCAGCCAACTCTTAATAAGTTTCAGGCCTTGGGCTCGTGTGAAGCTGCATTCAAATGATCCGTGACCTGTTCGAAATGTCACAGCATAAACTCCATCCTCCTTCAGAGGGAAGACATTTAAGTAGACCATCAGTGATCAAGCAATCTCAGGACATCTCCAGGCACTCCTAATAAAACTTAATGGTGATAAAGTATGTGTAAGTTTACATGCATATTACTTTCAGCAGATTGGCTTTATAATCATTTGCCAAATACACCATTCATACTCTTTATGAAGTAAATAAACAGTTATTTCTGCTCACATTTGTATTCTGTGACAGAAGAATAGGACTTTCTCCTAATATCGAAGGAGGTAAACTATAATGAAACACTGTTTTGCATGTTTTCTTGCACAAACTACTGATATGTCCTTTTACTCCAAAACAGTCTTTCTAATAACAAGTCAGACAGCCAACAGCATGACTGAATAAAGGGTGTATATAAAATCATCCATAAGCATATGTGTATTCATTGCCTTTGCCACAAGACATCAAACAATTAGATATGTTAACCATGCCTACCTGTCTTAAATGGAATAATGTGCTCCTTATATGTGGATTTTGTGGCCTATGTCAGTCCATCTACCCACAAGAGCTTTAATAAGTGTCAAATAATAATAACAACTGAGCACTAATTTAAAGTCAGCATGAATCAGAAATCAAAACCTTCCATACTGTGATATACAGTATTAAAAAGGGTCTCAGCATTTTCACTTGATAATAGATGGGATAATGTGAAACATGATTATATTGTTGGTTAATATCATTTTCTCCTGCTTGCAGCTGCAAGGTGACATAATTAGAACTCTGAGGACGTTTTAGAGGCAGACAAAAGCCACCTCATTTTGAAAGAAGACAGATAATTTTATTGTAGAATGTCCTTGGGTGTTTTGAAAGGCGCTTATCAAATAAAATTGTATTATTATTATTATTATTATTATTATTATAAAACAAGCCCTTACAGAAAAGTCACATACATATCATATGTGAAGAATGTGTGATCACATGACATTAAACGGCACATATGATCACGTTTTTTCACATTTGAACATTCAAATGTTCACCTTTTTTGCATGTGATCACACGTTTTTTCACATGATACATTATTTTTCACACAATTATCGTGAGGGTATAAAAACTATTTTTTATACCAATGCTATATTCACCTGTAAAATTCATTGTTTTTTTCTGTAAAGCAGGGTTTTGTCTTTTAAATGGTATTATATGTTTAAATGTGTTTTACCCTAACAAACCAAGCACCTTGTTGGCCATCTATTCTGAGAATTTGGTGATGGCCCCTTAAACTCTAAATCTGCTCCCAGGGGAGTTACAGTGCGAGTTACATGTTCACATTGGCCATAGTAAAAAAGATCAGTGTGTATAATCTGAGCATTCTGTGTGCTGTGTTTTCTTTTACAGTATAAAACATGTACAAGGCTTCCTTTATTGTTAAATGCATTGCGATTTTCTCTGAGTAAGTGTGCAAGCTCATTCAGAGCACAGTTTGGACCAATAAGCACTTACAGTGATGTCTTCAGAGTAGGAATAAAACACGTCTGTTGTGTAAAACATGTCTTTTCATGTGTTTTCATGTTCATAAATGTAGTTTTTGAGATATTAAAAATCGACCTTTTTTGGCTTTGCTAGATCAAATACATGCTACAACAGCTTTGAGAAATCATGATATTAACAGTGAAAAAGCAGATTAAACTGCAGAGATAGCCATGCATTGTGTCGGCCTTAAAGGGGTAATATGATCGGATACAAAAAGGTTCATTTTGATTTCAGACTGATTTTAAGATCAAACATTTTCCAGTGCTTTCATAGACAATGCATAGATGGATAACTGGTTCTTCATTATCTTCATTATCTATAAGACTTACTTTCGAGGGGTCAGGTGGCATAACTCCCTCCACAGTAAAGGGACTTCCTGGTACAGGGTTGCCGTCATAATTGATGTCCACTTTGTAGGGTCCCTCCTCTGGAGGGATGTACTTCACTGTGTGCACTTCATTGGCTGTTCCAGACTCAACCTTGCAAGGTATTGGCCTTCGAGATGGTGAGGTGATCTTCACATCCACTTTGCCTTGGCCACCTGCTCCACGTGTGTTAATGGTGAACTCCTGATCTTTCCCAACATCCACTTCTGCACACACACAAAAAACACGGACCTTCAATATGGAACACTAAGCTAGAGACTTAAAATGCCACATTACAGATGCCCAGTTTCATTGTGCACACAGTGCTTTTACAGCCATTGATACTTAAAATATAAACATTAAATAAAGCTACTAGATGGATTTTGTGCAGACTTACTGGTGTTAAGTCCTTGGACTTTGACCTTACTAAGGTCCAGTGGAGGAGCAACAGTGATAATGAAGGGACTTTTGGGGATGGGGTCACCTCCATGACAAACAGAAATACTCATGTTGCCCTGCAAAAGACAGACAACAAAACAGTGGATGTAAGCATCAGTTTATTCTTTCCATTATTAAGAAATCATTTTCACCTGGGTATTTTAATACTACTGTGTGGGATTGTAACTCGATGAACTGAGCATCTTGGCAGAAATGCATTCTAATAATTTGGCAATGACCCCTTAAACCCCTTTTAAAACTGCTACAAAAGGGGTTCCAGTCAATTCACGTTGACTTTAGCTAAAGTGAAACATATCAGTGTGCAGAATCTGCGCTTTCTGTAAGCTACTGTGTTTCCTATCAATGCATAGAAGATGCACAAGGTGTTCTTTATTGTTAGATGTATTGTGATTTTTTCTGAGTCAGCAACTGACGTCACATATTCCTACTCAGGTGTTCATAAATTTAGGTTTTGAGACAATGCAAATATATGAATTTTTGGCTTTTTTGCTAATCATTTTCCTTACATACCAGATAGACACAACAACACTGAGAACTTTATTATTAACAGAGAAAAGCAGATTTTTGCATTGGCATGAAAGGGTTAATATCTGCATTCATTTAGACTGATATGCTTGCATTATTAGAAGAGTCTATCATTATAATATAATTATAATAAACTGCATTTATTTAGCATCTCTCTTACACTTCAATCATAACTCAAACCTCTACACAAGCGCAAAAAAAGACAGAAAATAAAAAGTCATACACAATAGTGGGTTTTAATCCACCCAAACCCACAATACAAATTCAAATTATCTAACATTTTTTCTTCAGCAAAGTCTCCTGAAATTTAACTTAAACGAACATAGGGACCTTACAACCCCACACATACTTAACACCAGGCATTAGACCTTCAAAACTCTTAAACTCTACAGTAAGAATGTGCCAAATTGCATTAAGGTAATCAGGCGTTACTGTGAAACTACTTTAAACGTATTTGGCTCTCAGTCAAACTGAACTGCTAATATCCCTCAGTGAAAACAAGCACATAGCCAGACCAATAGCCTACAGTATATTTGTAACAATTACGCCTTGTATTCATTAGACTCCTGAGAAAGACTAAATGAGATTCCCTAAGATGTTAATATGGTTGTGCTAAACATGCTAAAGACTCCATAGACTTTTTTTTTCTTTATCACCAATTCTCCTTACCTGCTGTAGTGCAGTGTAGCGTACAGTATAGGAGTAGTCATGGTTATCAATGATTTCAAAGTCACTGACAGCTTCTCCTTTAAGTGCCCCAGTAAAGTGAACCTCAGGGGTGGCCTTGCCCGCTCCTTTTGTGTAGACTGTGAAGTGGGTCGGCTTGCCCACCTCCACACCTGTAAACCATTGACATGATACCAGTCATTCTCCCAAAACCGTCTCAAAACATGTCCAGAAATATTTCAGTGTCATAAGTGTCACACAGATCAACAACACTCATATAATTCAGTAGATCAATTGAAGCTCTAAACTGTACAGCAAAAAGTTTAGTGAGTTTATGCTTTAAAGTGTTTAAGCACTTTTTACTGTAATTCTCACACCTTCGATGTGTCCATATTTGCGTTTCTCATGACTGATATTTATCTTTTTTTGTCTTTTTATTTAATAAAAGGGGTTTGTATTGCTTTTATAACTGTTGAACTTCTTTACTTTCATGTTTTCCTTTTAAACTTCAGAATGTGAACCAAAACAACAAAAGGTTTACCTCAATGTGTTGCAGTAATGAAATTAAATAACAAAACACCCCATTTTGCAAAATGTATATCTATCTTCAAATTCTGCTGTGTTGCGATAGTGAAAATTTGGTCATTTAAATTGGAAAAATGTTACTAAAATCAATCAAAATAAATAATCCAGGTATTTTTAATTATTCAAACAGGCATCACTGCTTGTATATCCAAAAAACATTAAGCAGTAAGCTAGTTAACTTAATTTTTTCAAGTATTATAAGAATAACCCTTTCCTTACTCTCAGAGACACAGTATCTTACCTGTCTTGCAGAGTCCGGGACCTTCGGCTTTGACTTTATTAGCATCATGGGAGGGGTCCACTTTAATACGGAAAGGGCTGATAGGAATTTCCTGAAGAAGTCAACAGGAGAATATCTTTACTACCACAGTGAAAACCCAGCAGATTCATAAACTGCTACCCAAAGAATCCGACAAACTAACCTGATCAGCAAACAACACCATGATGGTGTATCGTCCAGGGCCAGGGGGAGTGTATTTGACGGTGAAGGTGTCGTTGTCATTTTTGATAATGTCGAAGTCAATGTCGGCCTCAGCAGGGCCTACCACTCCAGGAGCACACTTGATTCCAATGCTAACATCTCCTATAGGGCCAAAGAGCAAAAGAATGGCTTAGTTGGGAGTTGCACTATAGTATACATTGTCATTAAAGGGCCTGTATCGTGAAAAACTAATTTCCTCACTTTTTCAAAACAAAGACTTTGATGTATTATTTAATGGATGTATTTTTAAAGTTTCAAAACAAACTGTTCACCACTCTGTCAATACATTCTAGAAACTAAGCGGCAAAAAATATGGAAACTATGGAAACTATATGGAAACTAAGCTGCAAAACAGCCCATTTGAATTCACTGCTTTTGTGATCATGAAAGCCAACACATTCACATATATACACCTATTCAGCCTATAGCAGTTTAGCACTAACCACTTTCACATAAGTTATAAGACGTGTTTCAGCGTTAACTGTTTTCTGAACAAGTCACAATGCAGGGCAGCCAATCAGAACTGATGTCATTTAAAGGTACAGTTAGAAAAACTGTTTTGTACGGGATAAATAGAGGTTTGGATAACAGTCGTGTAAAATGAAATACAACTGGTACTCAAAAAACACACAGATGTCAGAAGTAGACCTCAAGTGGAAAAATGAAATGCAATAAAATGCAGGATACGGGCTCTTTAATAACTGTGGCATGAAACAGCGATGCAGACCGACCTTGCCCAGCCTCGCTGCAGTCCACTGTGAAGTAGGTAGGTTCGTTGGCTTTCAAGCCAGACTTCTCCACTCCTGGCCCATATACCTTCACATTCTCAGGATGGCTGCCCTCTCCAATGGTCACCTAGATTTGTATCAAGAGGCCACTCATTACGTAAAGCATGACAAGGATAAATACAGGACATGATTAAAGTGAATAATGCAGTGAATGCAGCCTTTCATTCATAAGCATCATTCTTTTTTGATCACTACGCTACTGTGACAAACAAAGTGATTGGATCAAAGGTGAAAAAATTGATATGAGGCAGTAGTACAGAACACTTTAGCATATTTCTAGGCATATATGTTTCATCATTTAGAGTAACAGCACTCTTGTACTTTCTTTAAGTAAAAGTGCGCAATAAATCCTAGAATAAATACAGTTTATTAAAGTTGTATTAGTACTAGTGCCATTTTCCTTGCACTCAAGCAAGCTCTTACTCTGAATGGGCTGTTGGGGACATTGACTTCACCCCAGGTGATGATAATGGTGTGCTTGATGGGCTTTGTGGGGATGTAGACACAGAAGAAGGTGCTGTCACCATTGTCTGTGATCTGGATGTCAATGGGGTAACCTTCTGAGTCCTGAAGGCAACAAGCAATATACAATTCAGAAAAACATCCATCATAATACAATACTTTTAAAAGGTAAAAGTTTTTACTTTTAAGAATTACATTAAGCCTTTTATGTAAAAAAATATATATTTTAATTTACTACTAATATTGTATTTTAAGAAACTCTGACAGTAAGCTTCAGTGTCCAACACAAGGAGATAACAGGCATACAAAAATAATCTCATACAAAGGGTTTGAATCAGCACCATCATTGCTTTAAGGGTCAGCTTGTGTTAATAGAAGAAAAAAGGAAGGTAATGATGAAAATTAAGGGCCACTACCTGGGCGTAGATCTTCAGCTGGCCTCTGCCTGCTCCTCGTGCATCTATAGTGAACTCTGCTGGTTTGTTCACAATGCATCCAGTGGGCTCCAAGCCAGGACCATAACATTTCACCTGCAACAAAACAGAATAGCCATTACTGTTACGTCTCTTTATTGTTATTTTCACAACATGGGCTTTATGAGGTTCTGTCTGACATTTTTGTCAAAATTATATTATGTACATACAGTGAATCACTAAGTGCTGTTTATTGCTGTTGTGGCAAAATTTAATTAAAAATAAGAACTGTTGAGTAGGTATTTTAAAAAATACAATCCTTGTATTGTAAAATGGCATATTAAGTTGCTGTTATGAGGTTCTAGCTGCAGTCAAATCAGTGCAGCTGATGAATTTGGGATACCCAATCAAAATCCATATTTTACTCATGTGCCCAAGCTCAGCAATGAGCTCTTCACAGGGCATAGCAGCTCAGCAGCTTGGCTAAGAAGCCTAGTTAAATTAACTTTTAGATATTTTAGAAGATTGAGTGAAATCCTATTAACTAATACCAACTAATTTAAAATATAGGTTTATTTAAGTTAGAAGCAGTCATTTAGCTAACAGCTACTAATGGTAAAAGCTGTGTTCAAGGCTCAGCTAAAATAGTGTCATAAAAGTACATTTTAAATAGTTAATTCAGTGAAAGGCTGAGACACAAACGGCACAGAGAACAAGACAAAACACACACAGATGCAGAGAATGGTTCTAATATTTATGCACTACAATAAATATATATTAAGAAATAAACTTTTGTGAACTTGTGAAGCTTTTTTCCCCTTAAATCATGCTGCACAATATAGTTATCTTATCATCATACTGCTTTTCTCATATGCATGCAGTGCATATAGTACTAAATTTCCCAACTCTCATAATGATGTAGTTTAATAGATTTATACTGTGAAATTAGCCTGTTCTGCTGCTTGTTACACATGAAACTTGTGAAAATATCTGAAAATAAAATGAATGCAAAACTGTACTACGTTGTGTTACACTAAAACAGCTTCCTTTATATCTACCTACATTTTACGCGTTTTAGGTATTTATGGTAATGGAGTTTGAGTCTTGAACAGTATGGTGAAGTCTCCAGTCTAATGTGGGTTTATCTGCCGACAGAGACTCATTTCTAAACTTGAAGAGCGCTCTCTGAATTAAAAGGTTCTGTCTGTGTTGTCCAACTATTTTAACATTCAGCAGTCAAAAGTAAGACAGTGACTTTGTTAGGATATGAAAGGTGATCCTATTACCTTCTCAGGGAAGATGTCATTGGCTGCAGGCAGGATGTGGGCCATGAAGGGACTGTCCTTAATATCCTCGTCATCACAGATGACGTGGACAGCATAGTCGCCAGGCTCCGTGGGCCAGTAGAGAACGTCACAGGAACCATCACCCTTATCATCGCACTCAATCTTGGCCTGCGACGGGCCTTCAATGGAGAATCCTAGATAAACACACAAACATATTTCTCAGATTTATTTAGATGTCACAGTAAATCTGAGATTATCCTTTGCACCCAATAAAAGAGTCTGGAAAGTATTTCTCAGAGAGCAAAAATAAAAAAAAAAACATTGGAGAAACTCATACTGCTCATTACGTTAGGGGAGACGAGCAGGAGTTTATAGGCTTTCCTGCCTGCTCTCTGCCACACTCACACCCCATAAACACTGAGTCTCAGGCTCCAGGGCCCCAGGCTGGACTGAGTGTGTGGAAAAAGGAAAAGAAACAGCAAATGCAGCCTTACCCAGAGTTCCCACCTCCGTGCCGATGGCCTCCACCACAAAGTCAGCTGACTTGCCCACCATGCCTGTCTCCAAGCCTGGACCCCAAGCTCTCACCTTCTGCGGTCCTGCATCTTCACTGACCACCACTTCAAATGGACTTTACAAACACATACATGCAGTGAGGGCAGGGTAACAGTGATGGCTTGTTGTTTAAAAAGATTCATTAAGATACACACAAAGTCATTCAGAGAGGTTTGATATGAAATGTTCCATTCTAGAAAAACTTATAGAGTAAGAATTGCTCTCAGTGGTGGTGATGGGAACCAGACGTCAAAAGGGTTTAATGCCTCTAAAAGCTCTCTCACATAATATTATTACCTGGAATGCGCTTCCTGATGACAGATTGTTTGGAGAAAAGGCTTTGATTTAAAATGTATTATTTTTTACATATACTTGACAGAGACGTACATGCGGGGCATTGTTAAGCAAAGTATTGCCCAAAGAATTTACCACTATTTTACCATTAACAGCACTACATAAAGAAACTCAGAGAACACATTTAGGTTCACTGGTTGTTTTAGATATTAAATAAAATGGCTACATTTGTGTTGTTAAACGTTCTGACCCTTTGTTCCTATCACCACCACTGTAAAGAAATCTGAGTCAAATCAAACTGAAATATGCTGAATTTTTCACAAATTTGTGGAATTCACCTTTAATGACAAATCAGTCATGTGTGAAGGAGCGTACCTGCGTGGGATGGCATGGCCGCCCCAGGTGATGATCACAGTGTATTTTCCAGGAAAAATGGGGTAGTAGTCACACTCATACACTCCGTCACCCAAATCACGCACCTTCACAGGCTCGTCTCCACCCTCTGAACACATGCAAACACAACAAAAGAAAGACACCAAAATTTAACATATGTTCACTTTCATATCAAAATCTCGCACCTCTGTCTCTGTTTTTTTTTGCAAAAAAATGCACTTGCTATTTATCTTACATGAGCATTTCATGATGAAAGGATCATCAGAAATAGTCCAGAATTACCTCGAATACAATCTCATTATATTAAGAGGCCATTTCTGATTTAGGGCTTTTTACATAAAATACCTTTAAATATTTTTTTTCCAATTTTCTCCCAAAATGTAGTCATATTCAATTCCACCCATTCGCTAGGATTCCCCCAATCTCACAATACCAGTGCTGAGAGGGTGAAAGCAAACACAAGCTTCCTCCAGGTCATGTGAAGCTTCACCGCACCTTTTCAAACTGCTGCTAACGCAACACCATTTTAAAAAACTAGTACAAAAACTTTAAAGGGCCCGTGTATATCCTACATTTATCTATTTTTTTACCCTCCTAACGTCCACTTTAACTAACATTTGTGTGGTTATATTTATCCAAAACAGTCATAATTTCTTCAGTACATTACCATGTTCCAACCTTCTTGTATCGCTTAGAATTAAACAGTCTGTTTTTGTTACTGTGTCTTTAATACTGATGTACGTAAAAGATCCTAAAAGATACAAATAAGCAGGGCAGTTCTCTCACATATATTTTGAGATTTTGTGCATCAGTTTCAGAGTTTACTCACTTGGGCCTTTGATGAGGACTCTCAGGTCTCCGCTGCCTGCTCCTCTGGTGTACACTTTAAAATCTGCCACCTCCTTCACCCGCACACCTTTGGGCTGCAGACCTCGCCCGATGGCCCGGCACGCGTTTGGATTACTCGCTGGTGAGTTGGAATAGCGGTTAGGCATAAAGAAAATGCACATATTTGCACATACAAAGACACTAACACAGGGACTGATATACAATCAAGATACATTAGATACAGCTGCAGGGTTTTAGAGTTAGTTCTGATGAACATGTTGTTACAAATGGAAGAGTTATGCATGGGCATTCACTACGGAGTAAAACAATAAGAAAAATGAAATGAAATAGGACAGAGAGATGCAGAAATTAAGAGAGATGTTTATATTAGGTTTTTACTGTGCATTTAACTAAATACAATTAAAGAGGAGCAAACTGTCTCCCAGTGCTAGCTTTCATCTGATCTTTTATTTCTTATATATCTTTTATTTCTTCTATCAAGTAGGTTATGCCTTTTAGGAAAGTGAACAAAAAAATTAACTGCGATCAAAAGCGCAAATCATACTCTGACTTGCTGGAACTTTCTGCAGTGCTAAATATAGATAATCAGAGGGAAAAGTGTGGGCAAACAGGTCAGTCTCTCCAAAACAGAATTAGTCATCAGCTGCGGTCAGCAGCCTGTAATGTTACTGAATCAGAAAAAAATGGATTTATGTCAAATCTGCGGTTCTCTTGCTGGGTTTCCTACTTCGCAGTGAAGTTACTAATGAGCTCCTGTAGAGTAATAAAAGACTATTAAATCTAGTCACATGAAAGAGCAAATCCAAATGAACAGTTATTTTAAAAAGCAACTAGTCGAGCTGTAATCTCTGTCTCACCTAACAATATATATAACAAAAAGAAAGACAAGACTGTACAAAGGAAGGTCGATATGCTGGTAAGACCATTAGTACACTGCTGTGAATTCAATAAGTTGTGTGGCAACTTATTGTTTCCTTTTGCATAGATCACCCACAGGTTAGAACAAACATGGAGAATCAAAGCATCCATATTCTCTGTGTTAGTCAGCAGCAAAGAAATTTCTAGGATCAAAATAAACTTCCAGATTGTTTTCGAAGGCATGAGTTGCAGAGATGGTGATGGTGATGATGATGATGATGATGACGACAATGAAGATGATGACAGTCATGCTGCTCTATGACGAAGACGCTTTTATCTTTTTCCCAAAACTAGACGGTCACTTTGACAATAGCCCCTTGATGCTCTAGCAATGCATCTGGCTCGCAGAATATTTTTCCTTTACATTTTGGGATATCATGTTAAGCCTTATACACTGAGTTGCCATTTCATCATATAGGTGCACTTTTTAGGTCTGCTTTATTACTGACTATACTGTATATGTTGCTGTATAATTTAACAGCCCCCCTTTAACCCATCCATAAATAGAAAGAGAACCGACTTAGGGCCGGTTTCTAACTGTGCACCTACAACGTGTACCAACATGGTAGGTGTTTCTAATAAAGTGGTAGTAAGTGCAAAGAGGAACCATATCATACTGAGCATCTCATTCTAAGAACTTGGCGATGGCCTGATTAACTTCTTTAAACAGTGAAACGTATCAGCATGTAAAATCGGCACTTTCTGTGTTGCTGTATTTTCTATCACTGTATTAAAGACGCACTAGTCATCCTTTATTGCTAGATGTACTGTAATTTTTCTTGAACGAGCTCCTTCACTGTTATCATCGGTAAGCACTTATTCTTTTGTTTAATCAGAGTTGCAATACAATATGACTGATGTGTGACTTACCTCCCAATTGCTTATTTAAAAATGTAGTTGCGAGACAAACTACATCAAAATCGACATATTTTTGGCTATCCATATTTTCTACATATTCACATCTTTGTATGTCAAATGAATGCAGCATTAAGAAATCATGCAATTAACACAGAAGAGTACATTAAACGGTAGAAATAGCCACATTTTTACTTCTGCCTTAAAGGGTTAAAAATCTTAGCAGCGCTTCCGTTCTCTCCTGCACACTCCAACCAGCAGAACACACGCTAAAATTACATTATTCTGGCATTGTGCTAAAAATGGTCCATCACCTACACCTAAGTATAATATGTGGTCAGTGGTGGTCCTTCCCATTGATGTATGGAGTGGATGGAGGCTGATAAGAGATGAGCTACAGTCAGTAATTGTTTGCCTACAAAAAAAGCCTCTGAATATGACTTCTTTCTTCAACTTCTATGTATTTTAACATACTAGAGTAGTTTACAAACTACATACTATGTAGTTTAACATACTAGAAAAAATAAATAAACCTAAAATGTGCAATAACAGGCCTCATTCTATATTTTTTTTTCCACCAATATGTTAAAATTCAGCAAATAAACAGTAATTGTGCACTGAAATGTGCAGAAGTGGGAGAAATCTATAGACGATGTGTTCACTTGTTGTCACTTCGAAAATCAGCAAAATGTCAATGATTGTAGCTACATTGTATCCAATGAACTGGCCACTCAGTGTATTTCATCACAGGCTAGTCAGGGTTAAAATTAATTGGAGGACAGGCTGGGTTGAGAAAATATGTTAAATTTAGAATTATTACTCATTAGAAAGCATTAGATGGTTAAAGTATCACATCCAGACCAACTGTAGAGGTCATGCTGGTGTGGTTTGCTTGGTGACCTCTCAGGACTAACCAACGGAGCATTTTTTGAAGGTGATCGTCCAGTGATGGCTTTCTTTTTGCGGGGTTAAGACGACATTGGCAGCCAAGTCTAGTTGTTATCTATTTTGGCCATCTAACACATTCTCTCCCACATGCTTTCTTCCACAGACACTGCCACACGTTCCGTTCCCTCCCTGCTGAAAGCTTTATGCGGGGGTCTGCTGTATTCAGCCAAGCAGCAGCACATGCCAGACAGCTGATGGGACAAGGGGTAGAGGGGCGGCATGTCTAGATGGACACATCAGGGAGAGGCAGGATGGAGAATAGAGGGACAAAGAGGGACAGGGAGGGACAGGGAGGGACAGGGAGGAGAGGAAAAGCGACCAAGCTTCTGCAGGCATGTGCCGCGCCCCAGCAGCCCGTACTAACTTGGTCGTCTGGGTTTGGGCGGCGTTGGGGGGGGCACTTTCTTGGTCTTTTCGTAGGGCGGCGTGCGAATAGACTGGGGGATTATCTGAACCGGAGAGCTGGCCGGCACGCCGCTCAGGGGAGCTAGAAGGACACACAGGCCAAAGAGAATAATACAGGAACACATTTCATAATGCGTGCGTGTTGGGGAGGAGGAGGGCAGTGCCGAACCCCCAGAGCAGAGAACACAGAGACCCCCGGAGAACAAAAAAAAAGTAAAACCACATTCCAGTCTAGACCAAAAGAGGGTCTCTCAACCACATTCAGCATCACACCGTCTCTACACACAGTCTTTATTCAAATGATTAGTGCACAGTTCACCATTAGACCCGTCACTAGAAGATTTCTATTAGATACAGCAAGGGCTCTCAACCTTATTACGCATCATTGCTGCCATAAGAAAACCTTCTATTTTATATTCCTTTACAGCATTTGAAAAATCCAGCTATGCTTTACATTGTATGAATTTTTCCCATCAAATGGACCAATAAAAACGTTGAAATCAGAACTACAAGGTGATTGAAGAAGATTTATCTGATTTCAAAGTTCCATATTTTTACAACCGTGAGGCGCCTAGGAACCAATCACATACCAACTGAAAGAGGGGTCACAGAGTTTCTGAAGATGGCTCCCTTCAGTCTGTGAGGAGATGGAGCAGAAAGCGTTTTGCGTTCTCCACTTCAACAAGAGTGAATACGTCATAACTGTGCAACGTGATTTTTGTCGGCAGTGAACCTCCAGCAGCTCAGAGTGTTCGTCGTTGGTGCCACAACACTGGATGATCTCAGAAAATCACATTAAAAGAGCCGTGAGTACAGTGACATCCAACATGCTCAGTTGAGTATGGGATGAATTTAACTGTCGCGTTGATGTTGTCTGTACAGCTGGAGGAGGTTCATATTGAACACTTGTAAAATTACATAATAAACTTCATGCTCACTTAAACCATTTACAGTTTACTGTATTGTTCTGTAATGATTTGCAAGTGAAATAAATCATTTTGAAATCAGATTACTCTTTTTGAATCACCCTGTATTAGTTCTTTTTAAAGGGCCCATAGATATTTATTTTTACATGAGGATTTATCAAACTCTTATCGCTTAGAATAAAACAGGCTGTTTTTGTTACTGTGCCTAGGACTGATTTATGTAAATGAGCTCTGTTCTAATTTGCTGCCCTGTATTGTGCCTCATTCAGAAAGCAATCCTGGCTGAAACACTTCTTATAACTTTAGCATGAATGGACATAGCTAGACTGCTGTAGACTGAATAGGTGGATATTTATAAATGTATTGAGTTTGTGACATCTTAAGAACAATAAATTAAAAACAGCCTGTTTTTGCAGCTTAGTTAGTCAATATATGTAATCCAGAGTGAATGGTGCACTTTGAAACCTGTTAACAATGTTTACATGCTACATAAAAACCTTTTATTTCAAAAAGAAAATTGATTTTTTCTTATGATGGCGATGATATGCTTATACACAACTGTAGTGTTCAGCTCAGGCTTAGCTGATCCAATCAATGTCAGCTCTAATCTCTGACTGAGGAGTCTGGGTTGAATACAAATGTGCAAGCTAATAGCTTGAGAACCCTTGTTTTATGGATATATGAGAGTTGGGGAGGGTAAAACCTATTAATCACAGTCATTAATAGATCAGTATTAGATAAATAATATTTCAGACTATAAGATGGGCCTACTGGAAAGTGGCTCTTACCCTCTGAGATGTGGACAGTGAATGGGCTTCTGGGTATCTGCTGGCCAGCGAATGTCACATAAACAACATGAGGGCCTTCTAGCACAGGGCCATAGGTGCAGCGGAAAATACTGTCCCCTTTGTTCTCCAGGATGATCTCCACTGTGTCCCTGCGGCCCTGAGAGTCCACGATGATCACACCTACGTCACCTGCACCCGCACCTGAGGAGACACACGTGAAAATGAAATGGGCTAAGATTGACCAAGATCTTGTATGAACATAAAAGAGCTACATTTGTGTAAATATACACAATTCATTTCACAGTGGTATGCAATGTTCACAAAGGCATTCAAAAACCGAAAAGCTTAAAAAATAGTGACTAAAATAAAGTGCAGTATCTGTTGTCCACCTTCTCCGTCCCCTACCTGCAGTGTAGATGTCAAAGTACGTTGGCTTATTGGCCACATTGCCCACTGGTTCCAGACCTGGGCCTCGAGCCTGCACCTTGTTGGGGTCTCCTAGAGCTTTGGATACATTGACTAGGAAGGGACTGTTGTTAATGTCCTGCCCAGCAAAGAGCACCTTCACCTGGGCACAGAAACAAGCAGCATCTCCTTACATGACCTGTCCTATTGAAATTAGTCAATGTGAATTAGCTAATGCTAAATACAGTGGCTTTGGAAAGTATTTGAACATTTGTGCAAAGTATAAATATATTAAGTTCATTGAGTTAGGAAACAAAATGTCAAAGCAAGTGGCATCTATTCTAAACAGACCATTCCAAGACAAGCATTTTCTTTCTGGCAAAGTTTTCTTTCAAGGGTGGCTGCTATGTTTCAGATCACTACTGACTTCTGCAGACTTGTATGCAAAATGCCTTTGTGCCCTTCTGAGTTCATGATCCCATCAGTGAACACAAGTTCATCGACACCACTGTAAGATAAGCAGCCCTAGACTTTTGACGTTTAAAGCTCTGTGCTTTACGGAACAATTAATGCAGTCTAGTTGGAATTCGTCTCCAAGCTTTCTCCACACAAGGAGTCTACCATAAGTTTGATGTTGTGCTGGAAGTGTTTTTCTTTGAAATTAATTTTATGAAGTAATCTAAAGAACTTCATTGATTACCAATGGTTACATGGTTAAAGTGACTAAACACTTTTTGGGGCCACTGCATGTGTACGTAAAAAATATTTGCTGCCTTCACATGGACTACTGAAAACATATTAGATGCAGATGCTGTGGCAGATCTATGAGATAAAAAACACATCTTATCTTTATGGTGGGTACCTTATGAAGTCCCTCCACTTTGGGCACATAGACTACAGAGTAGCTCCTGTTCTTGTCATTGTTAGGGATCACTCTAGCCTGGTAGAAAAAGAGACAGAGGAGAGAGGATGAGCTAAGGGAGCATCATGCAACTTTACATACAAAACATTATGCTACAATATGTTTCTCTACGTATATCATATATAGTCAGTCCTGCAACTATCATAAAAAAGAAAAAAACAGAATTATGCTAAATATAGAGAGCCTGCAAACAACAACTAGTGTACAGTAAACGCATAAATGGCAACAAGTAATTATTTTATTAATTTAATTTTTACCAATTGCAAGATTTTCCTTCTGCTCTGCAGTTTGTTTTTAAGTTGAATTATGAAAATATATATACTCATTAGTTTTCATCACCTTTTATATATGTAAGTCTACTATCTACTACTTTCCAACTTGTTTAAAACTAAACATTGTGATACATATCATGTATGAACATATCATTATTTTTCCACGTCATTCATTCTTAACTTTGATGACAACACAACTGAAGCTAACAGTTTGGAAAATAAAAGTGTGATTAATTCTCAAAGATGACCTCTTCTGTATGACCCTCAGGATCCTCAATGTACACCAAGACCTCTCCGAGCCCCGCCTCCACCGTCTCCACCACAAACTCAGCTGGTCTTAATACCATGTTGCCTCTAGGCTCAATGCCTGCAGAGAGAGAAAGAGAGAAAGACAGAGACACAGAAAGAAAGAGTAAGAGAGGTAAAACAATAGCAGACATAAAATTTTTGTTCTTTTCGATCTTGATTGTCCAGACTGTCATGAAAGGTGACCCTCACCAGGTCCATAGGCTTTGGCCCTTTTGGGGTGCAGAGTTTTGGAGCGCAGCGGGGCTCCTGGCTTCAGCTTGGCTTTGGGGAACTGAGATAGGTAAGTCATCACAGAGTGTTCATCCACATTTGGGTCCACGATCTCCTCAGGAGCAATCACCTGCACAGGACAATAGTCAAGCGGTCAAAGATCAGTAGAAACTGCTTGGGCCAGCATACACATACTACGCATACACATACATGCTACGCACAGGTACTCGAATACTCGGTTAACCATTCAAGATGGCATAATTTAAATACTGAAGTCACTATTCAGTCTTTTCTTAAGTTTCATCATGGAAACACAGACAAAATATACAGACTAACAATTCAGTGAAATGTTGCTCATGTTTGTAAATATGTGACTAAATATGTGGTACTCTGAAACACATATGCCCAAACGTGAGCTTGTTGTTGTGGGCGTGTTAAAGATGTGGTTGGTATAGTGTAGTGGGTAACACCGCTGCCTTCTACACTGTAGACTGAGGTTCAATCCCCTGCTCGGGCCAGGACCCTATGCTATACCAGTAAGAGTCCTTGGGCAAGACTCCTAACACTACCTGTGTTTAAAAAAAAAAAAAGATCTAATTGTAAGTTGCTCTTGATAAGAGCGTCTGCCAAATGCTGTAAATGTAAGGACGTGACTGGGAGAGCAAAGATGGCACAGCTTTATCCCTAACTAGGCTAGCCACTCTAGCTGATGCTGGCTACGTCCACAAACAATGAAAATATATTTCACTGATAAATAATATGTTGCCACATCACCCACTGAGAAGAAAATACCTCATGTAGAAGACAAGAAGTCCTAATCTGCATCCAACATGACACTGATTAACTTATCTGAAGAGGCAGTCTCCATTACTTATTTAATACGAAAACCTAGTGATGTCCCTCAGCAGGTTTTGAATAATAAAACATGTTGAAACATGGAGGTAGGTGATGGAAAACGCAGAATTGGATAAAATCGTATGTAAACCTCCCCTTTCCTGCGATTATCCAGATATCCGTTCATGAACTACTACGGATACTGGAATATCAAAATGAGTTGGGATGCACTTCTTAATTCTGCCAACAAACATTTTGACAAACAACGGAATGTGTTTGTCCTCCAGTCTAAAACGGAGTAAACCAGATAAAACAGTGGAAGTGACTCAAGTGGAGACCACATCAAAAGACACCTCAGCTGCAGTCAAGGTGCATTTGATTGCTCCTAAAGTTTCCTGCCATCAGAAGAAACATGCACGAATGAATGAAGGATACTGGGACAATCACAGAGCCAAATTGCAAAGGGGATCCATGAGGAGAAACGGAGAGAAAATGGGAATACGTGTGAGTACAGACAGAGAGAGAGGGTGGGGGAGAGAGAGAGAGAGAGAGTGGGAGAGAGAGAGGAAGGAAGGAGAAAGGTCAGAACCATCTGGCATGCACATTTGACTCCTATTAAAGGGAGAATGAATTCAGACTGCTGTGTGTCATTATAGCTCTCTGAATTACAGGTGCAATCACTCTCTTTTCTCACTCACACACACACAAACTCACAAAACCTGCACTAAACATCACAGATTAAGTGAGAGAATTTGTGTAATGACTTCGAAATTCCAAGGTGCTGTCATAAGAGCTTGTTCATGTTAATGCTCGTTTAATTTAATGTGCCATTAGTCAAACCTTCTCTTATAATATACGGTCTGAAACCTTTCTAATAAAGCTAGCCTAATCACTGCTCTTTTATCTTTTATGTTCATCTTCATTATATCAAGATAGATCACTCACATTCCTGTTTTTTATGACTTCAGCCATCTGTCTTCCCTCTGCACTTGCGAGGGTCAGTTCACTTCTATTTTGACAACTTTCAAGTTAGAACATCAAACTTTCTGAGAACCATACTTTGCATTTCATAGTTTAATGACCATAAAATGACTGACTTCTCTTCAGCACTGCTATCCTTTCTTTCACCCTTCCCCTGCCTAAAAAAGGCAACCGATATACATATATATATACTGGCTGATATGACTGATAACGTCAGCCGACACTGACAACCCACAGTATTAACCGTATGATTTAAAATGTTGACAATAATGAGCAGATAATTAATATCACAGAAAAGTTTTTCTCACTTTTTTTGAAATGAAACACTTTGGGCTAGGCTCCTTAGCTCCAGTGAGGGGTAATATTAATGCTACAGCACAAAAGATGTTTTAGGCAATTAGATGCTTTCAAATTTGTGGCAACAGTTTGGGGAAGACCCTTCCCTGCCCCAGCATGACCCTGCTCATTTGCACTGAAGTTATAGGGAGTGTTTCAGTTCAAACTGCTTTTTAAGGAGGCACGATACAGGACAGCACAATCAGCCCTGTGCATAAAGATACAGTAATAAAGATACAGTAATAAAAACTGCCTGTTTTATTGTAAAGAACAATACAAAAATGAATTATGAGGGTTTTTGATACATAACAAATGTCCTAAGTAGACCTCAAGAAAAACAATAACCTCTAGAAAAATGCAGGATATAGTCTCTTTAATGACTTTTTTGGTCACAGCATTGCTGGGATACAAACTCTACAGTAATCTATAGTAAACCAGATTGAAACCTTTTTTTAAATTAAGAAGTAGTGAATTATAAGGAAAATAAGAGGTAATTAACATAAAGCAAATCTGCAAAGAATAATGGGTAGCTTCATCCCCTCTAATATTTCTATTATTTAAGACTGTGAGTTTCTGCTGTTTATTTGAGTTTAAGAAGTGTGACAACTGAGAACCGACAGGCATATTTCACAATTCACAACTGACAAACATATCAGCGAGCAAAGCACAGTTTACCTAGAACTACTGGTGTATGAAAGTAAAATCTAATATATAAATATTAAATTATTTCACTGGTTATCAGAAATTTTAGTCACCTAAAATCAGAGTCTGTATCAGCCACAAAATTTTCACACTACTTGATTTTTCAAGTTAGACAACTTTCCATTCATTTTATATGAGAAGTAATATACTTTTACAAACCAATGCAAAGTTTGTTCACAAAATTTATAATTATTTTTTATTATCATTTCCATTGGTAGACACTGTCTTTGCGAGTCACTGCGCCTCTTCTCTCCACTCATGCTTCTCTTTCACACCATGCCGTTTAAGTGGCTGCTATATTTAACCTCAGGTTGCAGGGATAAGGGCCTTCTGGAAATAGTGCTACATGGTATTTAGCACAGCCGCAGAGAGGGGTGGAAGAGACAGAGCCAGAAAGAGAGAGAGAGAGACAAAGAATTCGCCCACCACCAAAACGGCTAAACTGAAACTCTCACAGCAGGGCAGTAGCTCACTGTAAGCATTCCAAAAATTCCCCCCTTTCTGTTGAGGCAAGTGGCTAAACTCTCCCTGAACCAGACACCCTGCTGCTCTGTTTTTACTGAATGATTTTACTGGGTATCGTGTATTTGCTGTGTGAAATTTGGAGTATTTAACACAGACAGAATCCATACAGATATATGGTGATGTTTGAACACTGCTGGTCAAACTATGTTTTATTAAAGTTAAAATATGTTACCACGTCCTCGACAGGGACCAACCTTAAAAGTATTTTTTTTCTGCAAATTTTAGCATTTATTTTTTATTTATTTGCTGAAATCAACATTCTGGAAAAAATAAAACATATCAAATGTGCCCTAACTTTTTCACAGAGCATATTTTATTTTTTTATTTTTTTTTTCATTATGTTAAATTCAGTAAATAAACAGTAGTGCATTAAAATGTGCAGAAGTGTCCTCGCTGTAGAGAATGTCAACTTATTTTCACTTAGACAATCAACAAAACGTCATTTGACCGGGGGTGCCTAAACTTTTGCATATGGCTGTACACATACCTCTGTTTTCACAGAAGAACTCACAAACTCAGAAGTACAAACTCAGAAAATATATACACACTTCTATGCTACTATAAGACTCTAAGGACAAATCAAAACCAAGCAAAGATACAAATGGAGTCCAAATAATAGCAAAGTTAAGGCCAGAAATCAAGCAATGCGTGAAACTCCTGTTCCAGGGTATTTATACGCCTAATGCAGAGCAGATTTGTCCGAGATACAAGATCATGTAACGCTTGCCGCCTCACACAAACACATACACACAGGGTCATTCAAACTAATGAGGCCAGTGAATGAGCAAATTAACTAATCAAGAGTTTTTAATGAGAGGAAGAAAACCTGTGGAATATGTCAGCAGCACACACTCACACAAAAACACCCACATACAGCACAATTTTCCCTTCACAAAAACATGATGTCATGCTCATGTTTTCCTTCTCCGAACTTCAAATTCCTGGTTATGCTTTCTTTTGCCAGTGAGCCTGATCCCCTCTCAGGGGGGTGTTTAGTAAGAGCTGTTCTCCAGTCACTGGTATAGTGGAAATGTTTCTGCAGCCTTCAGAATAGTGCTACACAATATGGACATTAATGTGATGTTTGTTAAAGCTCTTTGATTTCACGATGAGCACATGAGAAGCAATAAGCTATTACTATAATAGTGTGCCTCTGCCTGCTGTGCCGCAAGTGTAGACTTTCTCTTTTCTCATTTTTTTTTTTTTGCTGTGTGAACAGAAATCTAACTAACTTCTCCCTTAAGCAAATAACAATAAAAAAACAAAAGATAAAAGCGCCACTATTGTCCAAAAATAAAAATATTTTTTAACAATTATTTATTAATTCATTTTAAAGTTAATAAGTTAATAAATACATCATGATGAGATAAATATGAGGAGGATTATATGTGGATTTCAAATTTGAAAGTGTATCAACGTGGCTTGCTATAAGCATAAAAGTAACCAAGCACACCATACAGAATTGGATAAATAGAGCAACTATTATACTATTATCTAAAACATGGCACAGTCATCAACCAGATAGCACCGAGGGCCAACTAGAGTCTTTTACTGCACTTTTTCCTACTGCAGTGCTTGAACGGTGCTTAGAAAAGCCCCATTTGTGGTTATATTTTGTTTTTTTGGAGCTTATATTCCCTGTGGCCCACCCATGAATTTGTCATGCCCATCCAAAACGGCAGTCCTGGCATCAATACTGGCACCAGCTCTGGTGAAGCATGAGATTTAACTTCTTTAATGCAAACTTAAATATCACTGGATGCCACGATATACAGTATCTGGAAAACCTGACTAACTCTGGACTGTAGTCTGTAAGAACCACTATAAATCACACTCAGATCAGGAGTGTGCTGTCTACCTGAGGCACTCCAAGCCAGTCATCAGCCTGTTGCATGGCCTCCCTGGCATTCTCCACTGGCTGATTCGGGTCCCACATCTCCCAGTCAGGGCACAGACCTGAGAGAGAGGGAAAAAGAGAGATAGAGTTATAGATATGGTCAACATTTAGATGGTCATCATTCCTTTCATTGCGATGGTCAAAACAAACAAGCTAATACAGCTTTAATAATTTGCTTCACAGTCAAACTGACAGATCCTCTAAGATATCAGTTTTTTTCTATTTGCACCTGAACTACATTTTCTTTTTAAAAGGCACTACCATCATGGAATAATCTTAGACTAAACTTTCAGAAGCTCCTGAAAAATAAGCTGAATATTTTGGCAACCAATTCCCATTTTCTGCCTACCACAGGTGATTTCAATACCGGGTTCTGTCTGAAAATGCAGAGACTGAAGTCTAATTCATCATGGGAACAGTCAGCAAGCAGGCAAGCAGAAAGTGATCCACTGTGCACATTCTACAACATTCTCCAAACCTGAAGACAAATGCAATCATATTGAGTTATTCAGACCTGATACAGAATCAGCAAACATTTTCCCATGTCTTCATCTCTATTCTTTCCCAGTTAAGGGATCCAGGCACTCTAAAGTTACAGAACAGCTTCCTTAAGAAAATGCTAGCTTCTATCTAAGGTTGTATAAAAACAGAGGTGTGAGGTTATTGGACACTTGATAACAGCCTGGCAGAGTGTGAGAGGAGTTTGGTTCGAGCGAAACTAGAGACCCTCAAACCACGAGACTCCACTGCTGCTGCCAAACCCATATATCAGAAACAGCTTTGTGCATAGTTTGACCCTCTAGAGCTCCATACTCACACAGACCTGCTATTAGTTTGAATGGCTCACCTCCTGCTGCCAAAACTGATAAAACTGGAGGTTTATCACACCCTTCTATAGGCCCAGAGTGGCATTTAGATCTAAACGGGAGTGAAGTGGGGGAAACAATGACTGTATTAAAAGTAGAAAAAGTAAACATAATGAAAATAAATGGGGAAGTTACATATTTATTCACTTAGTCTCAGCTATAACTAACACATCACAAGGCCCTTCACCCTGAAGCTCCTATATAAAACTCATTCACATATGCACACGTACACATTCAAATACTAGGGCTGGCCCGAATAACTAGAATACTCATATATTATATTGGTATGTGCTTCCTTATTTAGTATTGAGAAGCTTCATCTTCTATTAATGCTGTAGACCCCAACAGAACTCTAGAACACTTATGTGGATGCCTAACAATTCAGAGAGAGTAGCTTATTTGTCACTGCTTTAAATAAAACATTTTATCATAAAACCAGGAAAAACAGCAGTTACCTAATGATCCATTAGCCTACCTGGGTAATCTTAGCTAAAGATTAAGCACTACCACACTTTCCCAACTTTCCAGTTCCCCCCTTTTCTTTGAAAGACTGTAACAAGTTAGTGAAAGAAACCATTAAATAGCATTTAAGCAAAGAGAAATAGCCAAATTAGAGGTAATTTGTTTGGCTATTGTTTCAGAGTTGGATGACATTCAGGTGACGAACCTGAGGAGTGGTGGTGCACAGTTCTACCGTGCAACACTGCATGCACAAGCATGATCTGTATGGAAGAGTCATCAGAAGGAAACCTTTCCCACGACCAGGGCAGCACAATAAATCAATTTTTATTATCACTGCAATAATCACATCGCTAAGAGCTGCGATTACAAACAGATTAAATAGCTCAGACGCACAGCGCTAAAGACACATCATGACATCACAACCCATTATAAGCCTAATGAGTGCTCCTCTGTGCTGGGATTGAACCCTGCACTCCCACAGGAGGGATGAGTGTTTGGCTAAATGGCCAATTACAAAAACTGCAAAACAAACAGCTCAAAAAACACTCCAGCCTGAACTATAAACCTGTAAAAATGCATAAAATATATTCACATTCAGCACTGAGTTTTAAGTGTGTAAGGCTGTAATGGCTACCGTTACAACAAACATATTAAATAACTAAACAAACAAAAAATAAATGAAGAAAAACACTTAATTGTTTGTGTGCCTATATAAAAACTATATCAATATTTATTTGTTTTTGTAGCCTTTTATAGAAAAAGCAAAAGCTGTTGAGGTAATGCTGTGTCAGCCTTTTAGTGCACAAAATAATGTTTTAATAACAGTTTATTGAATGCAATGAAAGCAATGAAACACCCACATACATGCTAGTGAATGCACAGACACTAGGGGGCAATGAGCATACTTGCCCAGAGCGGTGGGCAGCCCTATCCACAGAGCCGGAGAGCAGTTGGGGGTTAGGTGCCTTGCTCAAGGCCACTTAAGTCATGTCCTGTCGGCTCAGGGGATCAAACCGGCAACCTTCCGGTCACAAGGCTGGTTCCCTAACCTCCAGCCCACGACTGCCCAGACGACAAAAAAAATGAAATTCTTAGGCCACAATCACCAAATGTATGTTTAGAGAAAAAAGCATTTGATGAAAAGAACACCTTGCCAACTGTTAAGTATGTGGATGGATCCATCTTGCTTTGGTGTGGTAAGAGGCTGGCAAGGACAAGGATCCAAAAAGAGAAGGATTCAAACCTCAAAATCCACCATAAACGACTTCAAGAAATGGAAAGATGAAGCTTTTGGAATGTCCCTCTCAGTCCCTTAACTTGAGCACAATTAAAAACCTGTGTGTAGATCAATAAATACAGTTGCTGTGCACGCAGGATGCTGCAGAAATATCACAGATCCAAAGATGTTCTGCAAGGACGAGTGGGAGTAAATTACTAAAACAAGAACAGAAAGACCCCTGGCTGGCTACACAAAGCTTTTGTAAGCTGTGATATCTGCCAAAGGGTGTGTTATAAAGTACTGACTTAGTAGAGTGTCCAAGCTCGTACGCATACCACAATTGTTATTCTATTTTTTCTGTTTTATCTTAATCAAATATAAAGTAACTGCATTAACATCTACAGAATATCCATATCTGGTTTGACAAAATACATAATTTGGCCAGCGGTGCCCAACTTTTTGCATACAATTGTAATTAAGCAAAAATCTAGTCAGACTCACAATGTTACAGGACATCTGTTACTCGGCACCTTTGGGGATGAACAAAAAAGGAACGAACATACTTAAAATTCCATTTACTTATGAAACAAATATTTTGTTTTAAGGGTGGTTTTGAGAACAACTATTCGAGTACTTATTCTGAAGCACTAACACGTCCTTGAAGTCTGTAAAATGCTGTTCAGACCATGCCTAACACACACACACAAGAGGTAGGATAAAGTGCAGTGTGTGCTGGCAGAGAATTCTTAAAGCAGCATGTGTTTTCACTTAATCGTGTTTGCTGCGCTCGCCTCTGACACTTTCCATGCTGTTACAGTATAAAGCAGCAGCTCATTAACCAGGCCAGAGCTCTATATACATACAAACACCTGTACCATCCAAAAAACAGCCCCACGCCTGCTACAGTGAGTGGGCCCCTAATGAGTCCCAGAGTAGGGTCAAAAGGCTAGCACTAATCAGCAATGCTAAATTTCCCAGAGTTCCTGGATTATTATTAGTGAGCCTATGATTCGGTATGCTCTAATGCACTCATTAACCCAGGAATAGGTAGAGAGACAACAGACTGTTGATACAAGCTAGCATTCAGTGTCTACTGATGATGACGACACATTAGCCACATGGGTGGAGTGTATCAGCTGAACTGTGCTGTGTAATTCAGTGCTGTGAGGGATTTGGCAGCAGGCAAACACACTTTATAGCCTTCATCCACCCAATACAATCCCATAAATCCAACCCCCTGCTGCCTAGAGTCTCAGTTCCACCAGGCTGGAGGTCCATTACAAGAGAATCAATCAAGCTATTGTGTGCGAGATGTGACCTCTCCACATCTCAGGATTTCATTTGATTACCAATAAACATTTTTGCACACACACACTGCTTCTAATACCAGGGAGTTATTTAACTGCAGAGCTTAAAGAGACACTCCAACCGAAATGAAAAGCTGCTACATCTTATGTAAACAAGCCCACTCACATACTACAGTGGTTCTGCAGTAGTTTCTAGAGCAAAATGGTCCAGTTTAACCCCTTAAACCCCCTTATAACGTACTAAGGCTTATTATTCAGTAACTACACTGACTTCAATGTAAACTGGTTGAGCTACTCTTAGGTCATAGAAGTAAGTAGGCTAATGAAACCTTGGGCCTGCCAGCAGGCCCTGGCCATGTAAGGGGTTAAAGACTAGGAAAACCCCCTTCTGATGATGTATATTGAAGGTGGGAGATACTTAGAAAACTGCAACTGCTTTGGAGTGGACTTTTGGGAGTGGACTTTTCTTTTCGCTAGCTGGCAACTGCCAAAGAAAGTCAGATAGCTAATACTACTGATAGCAAGCCCTATCACAATTGTATAATTGTGGCAATTGCCTATCATAGCAACAATGGAGGGCACGGATGACAAAAATGACTAAAGATGAGGAAGATAACATGCTAACCTCTAAAGTTAGCAAAGTAGCAATCTGGCTATATCAGTACCTCATTCTGCCTTCCTTTCTCTGGTTGAAAGGATAAACATTTTGTGCTAAATTAAGCTACAATCCACAACTAAGTTCCACTAATGCTGGCTTGGTTGTATTTATTAACCTATAGCTCTGCAGCTAGGCCAGCAGTCAGGACTAAGGACTCCCAATGGTTATATGATGTATTTGTGAAATGCATGTTGGGTATTATAGTGACAGAACATTGATTAATGAAAACAGGTAAATGATATAAAATCACAAATTCTGTCAAAATAATTATAAGGCTAGAGAAAACTGGAATAACATGATAAATAACACAGTAAATGCTAGTTTTAGGCCTGCATGTCACTTTAACTGAGCTATAGACACAGGCTACAATTTATGTATTTAAATTATCTGGAAAATATAAAACAAACTTTCATTGATAAAAATTACTTCGGACCTAAAAGTCTTGTCAGCAAAACAAGTTCAGTATGTAGTTGCTAAGCATTTGAGATCCAAGTGTAATCACAGCATGCAAGTCTCCAGAGAATAAGACGGCAATATCCCTCTTTGTCCCTTTCCCTTCCTTTTTATCCACTCATCCAATTCTCTGTCACTGTGATCAAAGCTTGTACGTAAGCCAGATCTGAGCTATTGAGAGCCTAACCAAAGAAATGAGCTCCATGCCATGAGCTAGATGTAAGATTCCTTCTCCAGGAAGAGGGAACCAGATGCTGGGCAGCTGTCTGGTGAGATCCAGGCTGGATCCAGTGCAACACAAGGACTAATATTAAACCTGAAAAAATCCCATCTCATTTCATCTCTTTGAATGCCACAGCTGTGAAAAAAAAGATGCATATAAAGGATACAGACAACAGAATTGAAACATCATATTAAAAAGATTTTGAAATAACAAGAAGCAGTACCACAGGTGTGTTATATTAAGCTGAAAGCCAGTTAGCACTATGTGTCAGCTATAAAAGATGTCTGGCAATCAGCACTTTTCTACGTGAGTTGTCAAAGCAACCAGTTAACCATATTTTAAAGAGGCCAAATAGTAGGTTCCTGAATTTCAGATACAGCGATAAAAAAGTTCATAATTATTTGCAGATCCTCTCTGCCAGTTTGGGTATAGTACAGTCTGTGTGTGTGTGTGTGTGTGTGTGTGTGTATGCGTGTGAGTTTCTCTGGGTCGTCATCATATGATCATCTATTCTGAGACCTTTACAGATATGTAAATTATGACAGCATATGCGAAACATGAGCAAACTGCGTCAGCAGAGAAGATCGGCAGTTAACAGCATTGTTGCTAAACACCAATAAAACACAGCCTCAAAAATTACCACAGAATTGAATCAGCACATCTGTGACTCAGGAATTTATAGCAGGACTAACACTCAGAAACTACTGGCAAGATCCAAAGCTTACGCACAAGGACACAGCACCTGGTGTAGTGAGCACAGGCTGGAGCCATGAGTAGTGAAAAAAAAGTCATATTGGACAGAGCTAAATCCATGTCCACACGCACACACACACACACACACACACATGTGCAAGCACTTGACCTTTCCACCACTCTGTTCATGCTTTTCCACTCACTTTGTCCTTAACTGACCCTGAGCAATCTGATTTATGAATTGCACTGGACAGAAGTGATCAGGTCTCATGCTCTCCATTTTCCTCACTCAGGGTATTCTGTAATGATTTGTAATCTGTTGTGAGCCACAAAGCTTCATTATGTACAGACCACCATGTGCATGATCCTAAGGGAGGAAGTCCACATTAGGGGTTGCATACAGGGCTGAAAGATTAATCGTGTTTAATATGGAAATCGCAATTTGAAAGAATGCAATTTTCAAATCGCAACAGCTGCAATTTTTGTAATAGTTATACAGCCTATTATCAACACCACTCTTCTTAAAGACAGTTCTTCAAGGGTTCTTTAAGAAAATGGTTCTGTATAGAACTATGAACACTCAAAGAACCCTGCATGATTAAAGGGTACTTTGCATGGTGAAATGGTTCTTAAGATTGATGGAGAATATGCTGTATATGGTTCTTTTTGAAAAAAAAAAGTTCTTCTATTTTTACAATATCAAGCTTGTAACAATACAAAAAGAACCCTTTTTGGTGCTACACAGAACCATTTACATATTCTCTATGAATCTGAAAAAACATATCACAATGCAAAGAACCATTTAATCATGCAAAATGTTCTTTGTGTTCATGGTTCTATAAAAAACATTTTCTCCACTAAAGAACCCTTGAAGAACCACCTTTTTTAAGCATCAGTGTTGATACATTGCAAGTTTTAAGTGGGTAAATTTAACACAATTACAAATCAGAGGCAACCAAACATCTGTGTGTTGTGACACCACAACCACAAATAACTGGCAGGCTGGAGCACTGTGTTAGGCATTCAAGCCCCATGCCAAAAAAAGTACGCGCTGGTCTTCTCAGCCAAAAAAAAGGCCCGTACATCACTTTATAGGAAACATTAGCAATTTAAATCATAATTGCAATATTGGTCAGAAAAATTGCAATTAGATATTTTACCAAAATTGTTAAGCCCTAGTTGCATAAGCAAGTCAATTAGCCAATTAATAAAGGCAACTTATAAATCCACAAGTCGATGCTGTGGGCATCAATCGACGAGTTGAGGACTGTGCCTGAAATAAATTGAAAAGGCAGGAGGAGAGAACAGACATCAGTTTTTCTGCTACATACAAAGTCCAAAGTACTTTATTAGTGAGGAAATACTGCACAACAGGAAACCAATTCCACAGCGATTCCATGTAAGACTGCGCTGAAATACGAGCTTGTATTTCATAGGTTTTGGTTTGGATTGGTTTGCATTGTTTGAGGCCAGCTCTTCTACTCAATGCAGATGTTCAGGTTAAACCAGTTTAAGCTCATTAAATGAATTAATTAATTCACAGTCCACTCTGCCGTGCAAGGAAACACTCAGGAATCCAGGGACACACAGTCTTTAGTCCGTTAACCTACAGATGCAGCTATTAGCTGTTTTACTATTCTGCACTTTATTCAGCATTTTTTATGCAGTATTGCTAACTTTGGTCCAGCTTTACCTGATGTTGGAACCAGAGCGTCCCTTTAGCACACGTTTGTCTGCAGCCTAAACACTACTGTAATTCAAACTTTGACAAATCTAGCATGAGAATGGCTTTTGAAAGCTGATTTAGAAACAAGTGGATGGGTCTTTATGACACACTGGTTAATGATGCCCATTTTAATGAACTGATGTTTGTCTTTAAAATTTATTTAAAGAAATCAAATAAAATGTTATTTTATCAATCTAAAACTTTCACACATGCATTGTTTAAATAAATACTTTATCGTTATCATTACCAGTTATCATTATGCAGTTACATTATTCTAAATGGTTCCCAGATGCTTTCATTCATTCTTATTTATGTTATTTATTTATTTTTTTTTAATTCTGGCCATAATACTCCATAATTATTTGACCTGAATTTGACCTGAGTGATTAAACACAAATTTCAGATGTTCTGCATCCAAAATAGCTGTAGGCCTTTCTTCTATAACAGGCAGGCCAATTTCAATGTTGCCATTGAAAAAAAAATGCTTTTCCATGTCTCAAAGCAGTAATGCTGGCATGCAGCCAGGGAGACCTTGCCATGGTGATGATGGCTATGGCAAAAATCATTAACATAGGAAAGCTTTAGCAGTGTCTAATGTTTATTTAAGGTGGGAAACAGGGAGCAGGATGCTCTGTGCTCTTTTAACATTTTGTTGTATAATACTGGGTGCAGCTGGACTTTAACAATGAGGCGCTTGTCGTCCATGGCTCCCGAAAAAATCAACATCCGGTTTATTTCATCACCACGAAAGTTGGGAAAATTGAACCCTTGCTGGAACGTTCCACTAACTGCTGTGGTACCCTGCCGCTGCCGCTGGTGGTGGTGGAATTTTCTGTCTTGCTCCATTAAAAACAAAACAATATCCTGTTTGCCGGTCATCTAACATGACAACGCAAAAACAGCACAGTATCTACTCCCCCTCCACTCAGCAAGACGTGAAAGGGAAAAACATGTCGTGGGTCAGCACTCGTCCCTCGCATGGCTCTTGAATGGAACTCATTTACTCACCAGGGGCACAGTTGTCCACCAGGGCGCCCAGCGCCTTGCCGTCCCTCCAGTCCCGGTGGAAGTTGTTGATGGGTAGCTGGGGAACCTTGTTCTGGATCCAGCCCAGAAGGCGCTGCTTGGGGGTGAGCTTCTTGGCATCTTCGTCGTCTTCGTCCTCCCACATGGGCATGGAGATGGAGTAGTGCAGGATGAGCGTCCAAATCAGCCCCAGGATCAGCTTCAGGTTGCCGTCCACTATTGCTTTACTGTCTGCAGACAGAAATGGGCAAAGAACTGTTAAAGTCAAGTAAACCCTGGAAATATTTTTCAAAAATGTTGATCATACAAAGTTGTAAATTTACTTTGCGTACTGTAATCTCCTCAGGGAAATGTTTAAGTGGAAAGTGAAAAAAAAAAGAATGAATGTAAACAGAAAGAGCAAAATATAAATATAAACTTTAAATGTATCAATTAGGCATTTAACTTACATAAGTACTTAAGATGTTTTATGCAAACACCCAAAGGCCTGTCTTTGTGGCCAGGAAGGCCAGCATGTCAACTTTTTTAGGCTTCTTTTAACACGGAACATAGTTTACAAGAGGGCCGGTTGGCTGTAGCTGTGTTGTCATGTACACATTATGCTTGGTTGCTTATGCTTCTGGTCTAATTCATCTGCAGGCAGTTCTGCGATATTCGGCTACATTTTCCAACTTAAAATTTCTTGACAATCTAGGCTATAATTAAAATGACAACTGTTGTGATAAAAAAAAATTGCAGTCTTTCAAATTGTTAAATTAAAAAAATATATATTAATCTTTCAATCCTGTTTGGGTATTTACGCTTCATATAAATATCCAAAAAATGAAACATTGTGGAAAAAACGTAGAACATGTAGAACAAAAAGTCCTTGTGTAAATTACAACATTTCAGAATTCCAACATTTGAGAGAAATGGCATATCAGAATTAACTATTAATATTAACTCCATACTCAAAAGTAAATTACCCTGGCCTAGCCAGAAGAATAATTTAGTGTATAATATAAAATGTTTCTGAGCAGACTTAAACTACCACTCAAAAGCTTGAAATCACTATAAGTGATTAGAATCACTGTTTTCATAACAAAATCATAATAAAACATTATGTTACAAAATATGATACATATACATTTACAGCACTTAAGTGAGCACTGAGTTAAGTATTTATTGTAATGTAATGTACGGCACTTATTAAAATGCATTGCACTGCGCTGTGTTTAATTCTATTCCATTTTCTCTGTCTATCAACATGGGCTGTTGTTTCTGGCAATATCTGAGTTCAGGACTAACCTTCTCTCTAGCCTATTTGTAACTAGCAAAGATACTTTCTCTAGGTGGACAACAAAGCACTTTTTGTAAATCACTCTGGATAAGAGTGTCTGCTAAATGCTGTAAATGTAAATGTAAATGTAAATACACAAAAACCTTTACTCTAGAACTTCATAGGTTTCAGCTAATTTGATGGAAGCTGTAAAAAATGTAGAACTTTTAGATGCGTCCAGCATGACGAACAGAGCTGTAGAAAGTTATAATAAAAATAAAATCCAGAATGCATAAAAAGTGCTGAATACATTTTGAGGCAGATAATCAAGAAACGTCTAAAAATAGATAATTACAATATATAATTTGTAATTTAATAACTTTGTGTTCCAAAAAAAGAAATATTGAATGAAACATCTTAAATTAGCTCATGGTGTCCAGTGTATATAGTACACCGCATAAGTTATCATTGAACAAAATAGCAGCAATTATTATTATGACAAGCGACTCCAAGCTTTTGAATGGTAGTGTAAGCTGGACTGCACACTGCAGTATGGGGGGAAAGGGGAGAAGAGAGTGACTCAGTGCTAATGTAAGAATGTAATGTTAACAACAGGTTCCAGTATTTCTCACCCGGCGGTTTACCTGCACATACAGCCAAAAGCAGCTGAGGCTTCATTCCTCAGCAAAAACAAACAGGCCTTCAAACAATAGCACAGAGCAGGGCACTGTTTTAATGAGATACATCCCTGATCCGCTCCTCCTGTGATAACTACAACATCTGTGTTTGTGTTGCCCTGACTCCTCTCTGCCAGTTTGTGTATAGTACAGTCTGTGTGTGTGTGTGTGTGTGTGTGTGTGTGTGTGTGTGTGTGTGTGTGTGTGCATTTGCGTGTGGGTTCTCTGGGTCGTCATCATATGATCATCTATTCTGAGACTTTTACTGCTTGCTTTGCCTGCTGTGTTGATACGTTTTCCAGGACTAAACGTTCATAACATCTGGGTCCATCAGTTAGGGAATACTGCAGTGGGTTATTGCTGGCTCATATGTGACTTTTCCATTGTGCAATATTCTCTTTTTGTATCTGCGCTCATCCAGAGGTTGATTTCTACTTTTACTACCAGTCTCTTGTTTCTGATCTCACGGTAACTCATAATTGCTCTGTCCACAACTGCTTTCTTTTGTAGCAGCTGTTGCGAGGTTGGACAAGCGCATAGTAGCCTAAGCCCATATTCAAGTAGATGCTATATCAGAGGAATAATGACTCAAGTAAAAGTACCTTCCCAAAAAATAACTTGAGTAGAAGTGAAAAAAGTACCAGGCCAAAACTAATGAAGTACTAATTAACTTAAAGAACTGCAGTGGAACCTTTAGCATACATCCAGCATGTATGAGTCTAGGAACTGAAGTATGTTAGGATCTATTGTTCTCTTTTAGTCCGAAATAAAATGATACACCTCAAAAGTCAGAGGTGTAACCAGTCACAAAGGTGTTTTTATTTTTTATTATCATTATTATTTGATCCGCGACCCAGAAGGATAAGCGGTTTAGACGATGTATGTATGTATGTATGTATTATTTGATGAAATTAAACAATTATATAAAATAAAATGTAAGATAAGTTTTTTTTTTGTTTTGTTTTTTTTTTAATATGCTATATTCAGCAAATAAACAGCAACTGTTTCCTGTAGAGGATGTATTAACTTTTTTCCACTTAGATAATCAACAAAACATTTTTGATCGGGGTGCCCAAACTTTTGCATACGACTGTACTTGAGCAGAATAAAAATGAATTGTATTTTCATTTGAAAATATTCAAGATAGTACAGATGCATCAAAATTTACTTGTAAGTAAATTTTAATTTACTTGTTGAGTAAATGTACTACCCACTTCTGTGTTAGCAAAAATCCCATTCCACCTAATTTAAATTACAGTTCACAGCTCAGTTTTGGTCAAAATGCTTACATTTACTGGTGTACTAGTGTAAACTAGATGTTTATTTTGTTTGCACTTGAAATGTCCAACTGAGTTTATGTCATGTAATCTCACTTTGCATTACGGCTACAGCAAGCATGACTGACTCTGTAGATACTTTGCATGGCTTTATGTTGCTTCTTGTTGGGGCTCATTCTGTTTTTGCTGAAATGTCAATGAATATATTGCCAATATGACTGGCAAAATGTTGCCTGCAAATCTCAGTAACTTCAGCTATTTTATAGTGTCTAGTGATGTTGGCTAAAGCCGGTGAACTTTCTGCTTAAAGCCTGTGGACCAGATGTTGATCCCTAAAAACCTCTTAAAAACATGACAAAACATGACTAAACTACACTCAATCTTTCTTGACAGTGTGATTTTTCACATGCATGCAAAATAAATACCATTTGAAATGAATAACACACTCAAAACCCTGCTATTTTGTAACATAGATGGTATGATGTGTACCACATCAGTATCAGCACATAAATGCTTTCAAAAAAGTGACGGCATCGGCAGATGTTTGGATTTGGCTGATATTTCAAATTGATATTTGATGAATATTTACATGAATTAAAGTGCATTTTATTCATTTTATTGCATTCCCAAACCTACGTTGCACAAATAAAGGGGTTTGATCCAAAATGTGTTGCAGAAATGTCTTTTTTTCCATTACAAATGGTTTTGGGAGTTGGTACACATACAAGAAATATCAGTGCTATATTATGATACAAATAAAAATATGTTTGTCGTTATCAGCTGTTATTAATTTTAAAAACTTGTTATATCCAAAACTATTACAAATGGATATGCAGCATTTTGGAATTAAACTTTTCAAATGTTTACTGGCATCAGCAGATATCCAAAAAATATCGTAAATCAGCATCGGCCCAGAATTCCCATATCGCTGTATCCCTAGTATTTTGAAGCGTTTTGAGAAACACAGCTGTGTTCTACAGTTTCTCTCTAGACTGAATGGTCCAACTTCACTATAACTATGGACAAAGGGCAAGCATGGACAGGTCAATTCTTACATGTCTACACTTGCAACACATTTTTTTAAATAATGTGCATATTTATATTCCACATACTCCACTGTATGCAGACATATAGAGCATTTTATACCAGTCCTGATCTTGATGTGGCAGAAATGTGGTAAACAGACTGAGTAGTGGTGACCCGCCAGCGTGCTGAGCTGTCCTATGCTGTGGTTAGCCTGTCAGTGTAGAATTCTGGACTCCAGAGAGGAACATGAATCAAGATGGACACGACTGAGCCTCGGAGCAGAGCCCAAGGGCTGATGTCATTTAACCCTGGCTCCACAGAATGAGGTCAGTTTAAATAAAACACACTCACACATACACACGTACAGGAATCTAAACCAGACTTCAGTGAAGCCCCCAGTGGAGCTGTCTGCACTGAACACTGCCGCCTGCTCTCCAAGAGCAAATTCAATGCGCTCAGATCCCTCCAATCTAACATTACTGCCAAACCAGATCAAGCATATCTCTGTCTCTGTCTCTCTCTCTGTCTGTCTCCGCTATCTTTCTCATCTTCACAAGGCAAGGCCTTTGTCAATATTTCCATTATTTCACTCTTTGATCCTTGATTGGTGAATCTTTCACGTACTTGGCTTTTACAGCGAGTTATACTTTCTGTGCTCGATTAAGAGATGGATTCCTATCAGAATGCTAAATGAGTGAAACACATGAAGAACTCACCTTGCTCCACCCACAAATGTGTTCTTTCAGAGCTACTGTTGCTGGGTTGGACAAGCTTTACAGAACATTGGCAAAAATCTCGTTTAACCTACCGAAAAACTGTAGAACGTTTGTTTAGATTCGCTCCATAACATCGACTTACCAGTTTAAAATGCTGCTCTACTGGGCTGGATAATGTGGTTATATGAAACTAGGTATGTTTTGCCACCAGGCTCAATCACAAAAGAAAAGCTACAACCACTCTATCCTAATAGTGTGACCTTTCACACACATACCT